GTTACAAATACGAATATAATATATTACGTGCGTGCGCGCGATTTAAACGCGCGCCCCGAAAATGGGGTCCATTTATATGAATTGAAAGAGGACCGCGCGACGTGCGTATAGGCGTAGTGATTTATCGGGTTAAACGCTTACGCGGCGGCCGCGGCGGCGCGCACAATGCCAGAAATCAAACGGCCACCTCCCGTTGCCGTATACGTACGTACGTGTGTATATGTATATTTATTATTATCGATACGTATACGCGCAGAGCCGTGTCTGGCGACGGGCGGGTGACGGTGGCGGTGGTGGTCGTGGTGGTGGCGGCGCACACGCTCGCCGGGCGTTGTGCGGCTACGTAGGTGTGTACGGGGCCTCCGAAAGTCGTTTGATATTACGCGCGCGGAACGACATTGTTGTGACGTCGCTTCAAACGGCCGCCCCAAAACATAGTGTGATGATGACTGTTCCAAAAACTATTAAAATGTGTTTGGTCGATGGATAAGCGGGGGAAGAAAAAACAAAGAGTCGTCAATTTTTACCGTATGCACAATAATATCATCTGGTAAACCTAGCAGACGCGCGGCGACTTCGCGGGCGCACGGCGTTTTCGTGACGATAGTCGCGACCGAAGACATAGAGCTATTACTGATAACCGGGTGTATTTTGTCTATACTTCAATAGGTTCGCCATTCCATCTGTTAGGCCACGTCCGGCAGATGTTGGAAGATTAATTTCGTATAGCACAACGTGATAAGAACTACCGCAAAGTCTTCTCCATCTCTCGCCGCTTTTTCTAACGGATTCTCTGCATGTGCGATGCATACGTGCGTACATAAATACGAGCAGTGGCGTGCACAGAGAGGGTTGAGGGGTTAAGGGCCACCACCCCCCGTTCACTGCATTTGTTTGAATCAAGTGTTATACATTCAACAACATAATAATATCATCTTATACCACAGAACCGAAATAAAATTCAAGTCGATTGCGTAGAAAAAAAAAAAAAAATGAGTTGAAGGGTTCCGAGGGTATTTGTCACGACTCGACGGCCGGGCGGATAATACGCGTCCTACGGCGGCGGCGATCTGTCGCGAGTAATCGAATAAAATCCGCTAAATAGGTACGAATTGCGGCGGCGGTAGTGGCGGGCGCACGCGGACGTCGGGCGATCGCGTTTCCCGCGAACGCGACAAACGAACGGACGAACGTCTTGTACACTATCGTCCCGTCGGCGGTCGTTGAATTATTCGAATCAGAGCCCTGCGGATGGACAGGTCCGCGGGTACCGCACGAGTGTGAGCGCGGACCGCAGAGTTTCACGCGCGTGTCCGGAATCACTGATCGTTGGGATGTGGAACACAGCCGGCCGCTATTACAGGTATAGTTAGTTTTATTTGTATTATTGTTTTGTTTTGTTTTGTTTTTTTTTTTTTTCATTACTTTGCGCGGATAAAGCCGCAGTCCCGTACCTGCGCAATTAAATTACCGGCCGGCGCGGGTTACGAACGCCGACCGAACATTCGTATTGTATAAATGATGTTATATAATAATGAAGAAGAAGACGTTTTGGACGCACGTGCCGTCCATCACCGTCCGCAGTGACGCAGCCGAAGGGAGTAGATTTCCGGACCCCTTCCCCCGTGACGCGCTTCGCGTCGAAATTATCGTCGTATAGTCTTGAAATAATTTTTCTCCATACAAATTTGATACGCGTGAAATTTATTAGGTGTGCCCAAGTTTATTTATTATACACCGGATTAGATCCAAAATTGTATTAGTTTCACTAAAACGTGCGGTGTTTTTGTTTTTCTCGGAAAACTCTTTTTCCGTTATAATGCTCTGCTGAATTGTTCACGTTGTAACTTGAAGTAATATGCGAATTTTCCGCCCGGCGATACTATTTTTTTCGACAATATCTCCAGCCACCCGAAAATTTTTCTTAAAACTTAGGTGTAAACAATTGAAAACCTACTCTAAATGTGAAAATCACGTTGATCGTTATTATTTTTGTTGATTTCCGGATTACTCTTAGCTACAAAGAATAAATCGCGACCCATGTACAATGCTACTATACAGGTTTACCGAGCTCCTCTCAAAATTGTTTTTTTGATTACAATAACTTATCGTCGCTTTCAGTACATTAACTAAATTACCCTAAATCTTATGACTTATACCTTTCAAACCACCCCCCGCACAGTGGGCTGCCCATGGAGAGGGTATCGGTGTGACCGGTTTTTATTATTATTGATATCAATACACTCGACAGAAATTAACATTAAATGACCCAATCTCGTCGTATCGATACATAAAGTAAAACAAACATTTGGACAGTATTTCAAATAAAGACAATTATTAGAAATTAAAACGCTAAAATATTACGATCAGAGCGGTTTTTTTTAATTTACCTATTTACTTTAGGTTTTTTTTTTTTTTTTTTTACTAGTCCAACAGTCGTTTTTTACACTATATGCCTATACCTATTTTACGCCTATACTATTATTGTTGTTGTCAGAGCTTTTTGAAAAACAAAAATAAAAAAAGCCATTATAACTGTTGGTTCGTTATGAAAATACTTCATGGGACTCCTGGGACTTGAGTACGCGGAATACATTTCATATTATATAAAAAATAAATCGAAAAGTTTGTCTATCAACGAGACACCGCGTACTGGGGTTTAATATTTTTAATCCGCTTCGCGAAATATATTTTTGCTGGATTTATTATTTATATTAAGAGGAAATCATTGTCAACCGCCCAGTATTATACAGGCAATTTTAACGAATATTTTAAATAAACAAACCGACGTACTTTGCATGTCTCTGTCGTGGGTTATAAGTTGGAATGGTAGAGGGGAAATTTTATGTACGCAACGATTAACCATTGCTAACGGAAAACTATTCTGAGCGGAGTTCGATTATAACTGCATGTATTGAGAGGCCGTAACATTTACAGCCGGGTCCACACCAGACGCGCAAAACGTTTTGCAACGTTGCTACTATGTTCGGCGCGTCTGGTGTAGACCTAGTCCGCGCACGGACACGCATGTTCGTGCGCGTTGCAAGTATGTTCGAAAATTATGGGAAATGCGCGGTGTTCCGGCGCGTTTTGCTTATGTGTGGTTTGGACGAGAAATTGTCAGTGTCCTATTGTCGCTGCAACAGTCAATACGCAATTGTTTATTCTTTTAAATTTTTACATAATCAAATAGAAAAAAAATAAAATAAATTATATAATAATAATGAGCGGCAGTACAGAAAATGCTTGGGATCAAGATAAAGTAATTCAACTAATTGAGTGCCATCGCGGAAAACCTGTTCTATGGAACCCGAAAGAAAAATTACTTCGGCGAAATAAAAAAAAAAAATGATGAACTATCAAATTTATATTCGTGTGATATCGACACAATAAAAGGGAAGATCAATATCTTTATTGTCGTTTTTTATTTTTTTATTTTTTTTAAGTAGGCGATGTATAACAAAATGTATTTGATCGGGCATTATACAAGTGAGAGATATATATTATGAAAAAAATTGAAAACGAAACAATAGCGGACAGCTGTACTTTTTGAACATCACAAACACATTGACGAACATTGGAAAACATATGATTATGTTGCAACAAACATTTCTACGCGCAGTTTGGACGCTTGTGCTTGCGAGAATGTTTCAGACGACAAAATGTTGCAGCAACGTTGCGCGAAGGTGCGCGTTTGGTGTGGACCCGGCTTACGATTTGAAAATAATACGTGTCGTAAATTTCCCGTTTTTTCTACGTTTTTCCCGGGTTTTCTCATTCATTATGAAAACTCCTGGGATAATCAAAAAAGTTACCTCATTAAAGTATCTCCCTAGTCCGTTTTATTTTCAAAAAAAGTGCTACACTTGAAAATCGGAGCAAAATTTCTGGTAGAAAAGTTGTTCACAGAAAATATTTTAAAAAAAACGTCATTGTAAAACCAAAAAATTCTTCGCTCCTCTCAGAATCTAAAACGAACATTAATTATTATCAACTGAAAAATATTCAAATTCACATCTAAATAGGTAAATTTAAAAAAATAAACATATTTAATAGTAAATTGTATACAATCAGTATTGCATTATAATTAAAAGATATTATTGAAATTTGAAACGAATAAAGTTCAAAATAATTCATCTACTATAAATCCGTTATTTATAAATTAATGTAAAAAAAAAAAATTTTTGATGAAAAAACAAAAGTTGAACATAAGCAGAACCGTATACAATTAGATGGCTTGGTAGGGGGAGGGAAAATTTGTTTTAATAACCCATACAACGACACTCGTAATTTTTGTTTAAAAATGAAAATTTCGTCCCATTGCCGCTAAAATTATTCTAATTTCGAACAATTGCGTAGTAGGGCCATCCCACTCTATCCCGGCCGGATACAGCCTCAGATTAAAAGAACGTAGTTTCAAACGTTCAATAATATACATTCATAACGAATGTATATTATTATTTCCACCAGAAATTTTAAGTGGGTGTACAATAAGTGATATATTTTAATGTTATACGATTGTTATGATTTCCTAATTTTCTCGTCGGTTTGTTAGATTTTCCATCATACCAGTTATAATGGCGACGGCAGCAATAACGCGCACGTGTTTCGATTTTTCGAAATGGATTTAGTTTTAATTATACCGATAAAACATTTTTTTATCGATCGCTGCGAGAAAAACGTACCTTTAGGAGGTAGGTAAGCTGATTTTTTTTTTTTTATTTATTCTCCTCCCCCTTCCCCCCAATAGTATATATAGATCGCCTAGACATCAAAAATAATACCATAAACTGCAATAACAGTAACACCGGTGCGGAACACGTTATTATACCTACTTAAAATAATAAATGGCACATAGCTACTGCAGTTTATAAACGTGCACATATGCCTATTTATTGTCCGTTTGACTCGGCACAAACTTCGACCAAATATATTTCAACAGCGCAAAACACATTACTTTTATTATATTACAATTGTTGAGAATGGTTTTTTTTTTCTGCATGGACGCCTGTGGAAGAGCAAGACAAGAGGCACTTGCCCCCTCCCTTGAAATAAATATTAGCATTATTTATTTAGCAAACATTTTGGGAGTTTGTTTTGCTTTTGCCTCCTCCACTAAAATTCCACCTATGGGCGCCTATGTGGATGTGTCACGGTTGCATGTGAAAATTGAGAAGGTATCATATAATATAAAGCTAGCATATTAGTTTATATGATCTGTACGCAACGATAACGATAAACCATTGCAAACGAAAGCCAATTCTGAGGAATTTCGATTAAACATGATACATAATGCCGTGATTTTACAATGTCAATTGAATGTTCAACTTTAAACACTTATAAAAAAACTTCTATACGCAACTTTTTTTATCACTATAAAAACATCTCATGATGAACCTCGTGAAAATGCAATTTTTTACTTGATATTAATTTAGCACCTACACGGAATGTTAGAATACAGAAGAACCGAAACAATTACGAAAGCGGTCCAGAGGCATATTTCCGTCGGTCCATATTTCTTCGTTTATTGGACCACTTATCAATGCAGCTAAAAATAAGTTTTCTTGAACACCGGGAACTACTTTCAACAATTCAAAATACTCTGCCTAAACTAAGTGTTCTGAGCTAAATACAGAAGAAATCAGTGAAACGGTAAATACTTTTGCAAAAGAATGGCCAAATGACATCAAGGGATCTACTGATGATTTTATAGCTGAGATGACCATGTGGCGCAGGTAAAAAAATATCTTTTATGTATATAAATATTTGTTGTGATCTATATTAAAACATCAAATGCATTGTTGTTTCAGGCATTGTTTAAATATGTTAAAGGATAAATGGTTAAAAATATTTATTGACACTCTCAACAATTGTGATTCTGTATTGTATCAATCAATACACCGATTTTTACAGATTAGTACAACTCTTCCCGTTTCTATGGCAACAAATGAACGGTCTTTTTCTTGTCTTCGAAAATTGAAAACATATCTGAGCAACAAGACTGGTGAGGAGTGATTTAATGGATTGATGCTATTAAACTTATACAGAGACATACAAATAATTTTATCGTATTTATATTCATTAGTTAATTTCATAATATTATGTTAATTACCGATATTGTATACTAAATCTTATTGTCATTCACACTACCTACTGTACCTATTCTACAAGAGTTTACCTCGTTTATTGTCATACGGTTATAATTCAGTTAATAAAATAGTCCTAATATATAAAAAAAATCATAAATATTTCTATTAGTACAGAGTACTTAAAAAAATATTTAAAAGAAGCTGTTTAAAATTATTTTTAATAGGTACACATACTTAAAGTACTCGAAGAGACCCATATTTTGATGTATTGATCAACAATGTAATCCAAATTGAACAGTTTTTATAATACTTCAAATTTGAAAAGTGTGTCTATTGACCCTATTTTACGGTATGTACTCGCACATAAATAAAATAAATATAATACGTTTGGCGTGATAAACTAAAAAAAAACAACTGATGTGGTAGTTATTAAAAATACTACATACTAGGATAGAAAAATCAAATGGCATAGGGTAATTTTTGGAAGTGAATTGTTATTTGATAGGTACCTATATTATGTTTGGTTTAAACATTTTATGTGTACTATTGTACTATGATAATATTAACATATTATGTTATATTACCATTTACAGTTACACAGAGGTATACTATATAATTTGTATGTTACGCCATGTCATTATTTTTACTATTAGTGTTTTAACTATGTACGAGGTATAGGTACATTGATAATAATATTAATACTATAAATAATTTATTCCGTTCCCGCATAATCGAGAATATTCATTTAGCCTCGCGACATGGAAAAAATTCTTAAAAAGTAATATATGTAGCATGGCACTCTTTAGATGTAAAACTTAAGCAATCAATTCAATAGAAAAAAATAGTCAGGAAGCCTTTAAAATGTAGTGCTTCACAGGAAAATACTAAAGATACCTTGGACTAAAAGGGGACATGACGAATGAAGAGGTATTAGACAAAATAAAGGACAAGCGACAGTTATGAAAAAGCATTCAATCCAGAAAAGATAAGATGATTTTACACATATTAAAAGACATGAAAACCTACTAAAGACAATAATCAAAGGAGATGTAAGACACATAGAAAGAGAAAGACCAAAGACAGAATACACGACCCAGATAATGAAGGATATGAATAAATAAAGCTAAAAGACCTAAAAAAATTGAGTTACAACAAACTAATCTAAGCATGAATAACAAAAATAAAAACTTTATGTTCTTTAAAAACATAAACCTTTTTTTAGGTAGAAGGTTGTTACGCGAATAAAATTGTTAATATAAATTAATATTTACACACAAGTAATCTGAAATTGTTTGTCGCATATATATAAGAGCTATTAATAAGGGTGTGCCAAACCGAAAGCGTTCTCATGTAACAGCAAAAATCACATGTTGATGGGCCATAAAGAAAACGTGTCCAGGTCAGGACAACAAAATACAAGGAGATATTGACGGTGGCGTACATCACCTAAACCCTGACCAAGGCGACAGATGCAGTATAAGATGACCGCGCAGAAAATTAATAAAAACATTTTAGAAATCGAAACTTAGTACAAATTTCCATCTAAAGAGCACACAACAGTTTTATAAAATTGAATTAAATCAGTTTTATGTTCAGCCGAAAGAAGTTTATATAACTTTATTAGTTCACAATATAGTGAGTTTTATGAACTAAATCTAATAAATCAGTTTTCCTATAAAATACATAAATCAACGATTCAATACTCAAATTTGAGATATTTATGTTCTTCACGACTTTCAATACTTGATCAAAAACTTCCAGTATCATAAGGTATAGCTAACCTATTCTAAAATACCTATTTCAGAATAAGTGAAATTTTACTTTATTCAAAAACTATTAATGACAATTTATTTTGATCATTAATTATTTAATTTTAAATTATCGAATCAAAGTAAATTTGATGATTTAAAATCAAATTAAAATAATTTAGTATGTAGTATTTATTTTAAAAATACCATAGATTTTACTTTTCAAAATCAGTTAGGTCTTATTTAATAATGTATGACATACACAATTTTTTTTTTTTTGAAACAATACATCTTATACCATTAGACCATTTTTAACTCAAACACATATTAAAATTAATATTTAGTTTTCTTATTAAAAAAAATCTTAAACTTAATTCGGTATATTAGCTAAATAATCAGCAACTTGTTGTTGATCGAGTTTTTCAAATATTATTTCATCATTTCTGTTTTTGCGGCAAACTCCAACCTCAATATTATCCGCAGTCATTTGTCCCTCAAAACCTTCTTTTAATGCTAAAATAGCTGTATGGATAGCATCTTCCAATTCTAAATCTTCTTTATATCTAAAACACATTATAAAAATATTAACAGACAAATCTTCCCAGGGAAAAATGTCTAATCAATTGTGTAAGTTCCAATACAATCAAATTTAGTTTTGAAAATACATACACTAATTACATATATTTTGATCTAAATGTGATCAAATAAAAACGGAAAAAATTACATGACAAAATTAAAAAAAAAAAAATACCAAAAATCAATTGTCTCCTTGGGATCAAAGATATAATAATCAACTTTTAATAAAAGATATGATCAAGTAAAGTTAGAATTTAAACTAATATGTTAATATCAACATGTGTAATGTTTTTTATTTACCTTTTTTCCAAAAATTGTTTGCTGTTGACATAATTTTTTCCTAATGCCGTGGCCTTCCATGCAAAATACGCTCCAGATGGATCACACTGGTAGAGTTTAGGTCCAGTTTTATCCCAACCACACACCAATAAAGACACTCCAAAAGGTCTAACACCACTGAAAAAAATTCATTAAAATAATTGTACTAAGCAATCAGTAATTAATAATATATGGACTATATCTATATGCGGTAATTACCAATTTAGAAAATAATAGTTTCTATTAATAATATAGATTTTGTTAGTATCAATAGACATAAATGAATGATAATACAAATATATTAATGTTATTTTACAAGTATGCGGCATTTATTTAAGTTTATTTTACAATGGTTGCAATAATGGTTCTTTAAAATATAGGTCACACAGATCTTAGTACAATGGAAAAAAAAAGTCAAGTATTTTTACCTGTTAAAAATGCATTGAATAAAAAATAATACTTGGCATTACAAACAATTTTAAATTAACAATAATATTTTCTGAATTTATATAAACATAAATATTTTCAAATTATTTCACCAAGAGAATAAATCTTTATAAGTACTTTGTTTGATATGTAAATACTATTTAGCATTAATTCACATAAAATGAATACAATATTATAATATAATATATACAGAATATTCCAAATTCCAAGTTACAGTCAAATTGTCAAGGAATAATTATTTTTTTAATGTAATGTAAAATTTAACTGTTACATGAAATATAGAAAATTCAGTATAAATAATGAAATTCCCAATCCATGACAATGTAAGTTTTTTTTTTTATTCAACAAAAAATGGTATTATTATCTTTAGTACAGCATATTACCCACACCTTAAAACAGAGGATGGTAAACATTACATTATTATGATTTAAGATTGTAATATATTTATTATCTATCTGTAATTGTTAAAGTAATTAAATAATAACATAATTATTATTAGGTTTTATATTTTATTAATATTATAGCATTACAAACGAAATAGAATTTTGCTGATTTTCAGCAAATTTAACTGCCGGTTAGCACTATACAAACATTATTGTAAAAATGGACCTTACACTAAAAAAAGTTTTATTTAGTACTTATTTTTAATTTTTGTATTGACTAGTATATTGTAAATTTAATATTTATAATTAATTTAATAATAAAAATAATGTACAATAATGTTAAGAGTAATATAGTACAATAATATCTCCTAATCAACCAAACCAACAACCGTAACTATATGGACAGACGGAGGATAAAACAAGGATATAAGACAATCTAAACTTATGTTTAAAAACCTTGACTATATAATTAGAATCAATATTGTAGAAGATAAATCAATGTATACATTTTAATAATTTTCACATTTAAAAATAAGTCTAAACAAATTTTGAAAAAATCATAAAAACAAAACAACAATTCAATATAATATAGTTAGTAAAATTAATAAATTTAACAATTAATTAAAATAAAACAACCATATCTGTGATATGATGTAAAACAAGATAATAAATTTAAAAAAAAAAATACCTAACAAAATTAAAACGTCTAAACCAATGGAAAACATTTCTCACCGATTCAGTAATTTTAATATATTTAATGACACTTCTGCTGTCCTAGAATCAATTCGGACCCTAAAAAGCGGTTCTGCACCTGGGCATGACAACATTAAGGATGAAATTAACTCATCTATACTTTTAAAATCATCATTACACATTTTTAATATATTAATAACCAACTCGGTCTTTCCAGATATATTTAAAACGGCAGTAATAACCCAAATATTAAAAAAGGAGATAAACTCTCCATTAATAATTATCGTCCAATATCGCTGATTTCAAATATTCCTAAAATCTTTGAAAAGTTACTCAAAAAAGAATTACAAGACTACCTTAAAACTTATGATATTCTCCATCCATCCCAATTCGGGTTCAAACCAAAAAAAGATTCTGACCAAACTATTTCTCAAGTCACTGACGTAGTCTACACTGCATTAGATAATGATACAAAATGTGTAACAATTTACCTTGACTTGGCTAAAGCGCTCGACACAGTAGACTATGACATACTTCTATCAAAACTTATTGATATAGGAATTAAAAATACAGCACTAAAACTACTTAAATCTTACCTGTCTTACGCCTCCAGTATGTAAAGATAAACAACACACTGAGTTCTCGTAAACTAATTAAATATGGAGTTCCCCAAAGCACCTCTTTTTCCTCTTTCCTATTTAATATTCAGATAAATAATATAATAATAAATAATAATAACTCACTGCCTTTGAGAGTGAGTTTTATTAGGATGTTTTGCTGATAAAACAGCATTAATAGTGACAAGAAACTCCTAGGATGACGTCTTTCTTAATATACAAAATGATATTACCATCATTCAAAACTGGTTACTGGAAAATAAACTTTTCCTAAATATTGATAAGACATACATGCTACCGCATGAATATATATATATTATACATATATATATATATTATATATGTAACCTATTCTAATTTCCCAACATAAACCACATTCCATTGCACTCATTTAACTGTCATAATATAAACTCATGCGCTTGTGAAACCAAATTAAGCATCAGCACATCTGTAAAATACCTGGGTGTTAAAATGAGCAAAAATTTTAAATGAACAAGACATATAAATCTACTAGTAACCAAACTACGTAAGCTCATCTATACCTTTAACCAGCTAAAACGTATGTTAAACTCTGCCCATATTAAAAGTGTATATAAAGCCTTAGTTGAATCATTATTAACCAACGAAATAATTGCCTGTAGTAGTGACTGCAATTTCAATCTTAAGCAACTTCAAACAACTCGAAACAACATACTAAGATCTATACTAAATAAAAACAGGTACTTTCACAATGTAAACTTATACTCGGAATTCAATGTAAAGAATAAAAAAAATACTGTTTGAAAGTAAACATCTAGTTTTCATGCCTAAAAACAAATTCCAATATGCTATTTTGTTGCACAACTAGAGCAGACAATATGAGGACAATGTCACATTTTAGAATGTATAATTCCAGAAAGTTATTTTGAAAAAAAAAGTATTTCAAGATGAAATTTACTGTAATGTAAAATTTGGATGACTTAATATGTTACAATGGATTCCATTTAATATGATCAATCGCCAAACTTTGGAATAATGGTCTGGTACAGATTCTAATGTATAACAATACTTATTTCGGTTAAAATGGATAACCGCTTAATGTAACATGCCATATTAAGCGAAATCCACTATATTATGAAGGTCAAAATATTCAATTTTTTTTTTAACGAATAATGTTCAAATATTTGTTACCAATACTGTTAAAATGTTGCCTTTTTTGATTAGGAAAAAAATTCCTGTCATTGAGTGGCTGATAAATTGGACATATTTACCTTACTAATACAATAAAATAATGTAATCGAAAATGTCAAATTTACTAGTTAATTAACTACAACAGTAGGTAGTTTAAGAAAAAATGTTAAGACGTTTGAATGAGAAGAAAGAAATAGACAGGATATGCATGAAGAAAAACAGGTTTCAATAACAAGAACTATAACCAAAAAAACTCAACAGAAAAGTGACCACTGGAAAGATATCACTTTAGAATGGAAAATGCAGGATTGTTGTCAGGGATGTAGAATTGATGAAACCTAGAGTACAATGGAAAGATATAGCCGAATACAAAAATAGATGATGGAGTATTTGATTGGACAAAAAAATACTCAAGATTACAGTAGATTAATAAATTGTAGTCAGTTTAACATACAAAATCTGACCTTTAAACATTCAATCAATTTCTTTGAATGCATAATTTCAAAATATTTTTTAAAAGACAACCAATTTTTATGTTTGAATACACGTTTTTTTGGTTGGGAATTGTTGATAACACTAATATTAATATTGAAAATCAGTACAAATAATTACCCGGACTGAGTGTATTCCTGCATAACACTAGCAACCTCCTGTACCAATAAAGCTGTAGGTATTTCTTCTTCAAATTTCAATTGGTACTGTGCTGCTTCTTTTCTCGCTTTTCTAACTAGTAATCTATAATCTGGGCCCATGCCTAAAAATATCATAGAATTAAGATAGGAAAAAATGTATCTCATTATTCAATACAAATGATATATAAATATTTGAATATGTTCATAGCATTTTAAATAAAAAATTGATAATAAATAGTTTATAAATAACAAATGTTCCTAAATTATAAAACAAATATACCCAATCATACTATAAAAAGGAGAAGGTAAATCATTCAATAGAAATCAGTGTACAAATGATAGATAATCTTACAGGAAATCTTTGGGGAAACCATGATATTTTGGAATGTGATATAAACGCTATTCATAAGTAATTTACTCTCTGATAAAAAGAGTATTTGTTCAAAATGTATAATTTTAAAATACAGGAATTATTACAGAATTATCAGTAATTTATAAATACTTAATTTAAAAATTTGATAAAATATTTAAATATAAATAACACAAAACAATGATTTTTTAAATATTATTTATTAGGTATAGTAAAAATCCATGATTTTATAATTACCACTGTATACCATTCCAATGTTAGGTGTAACTTTTTGTACTTTTTCAACAGTAGTTTCATACAAAATAGATTTACGTTTGTTTTCAGTTGCAACCACAACGCCATTTGAAGCTAAAACACAATACATTTGAAATTAATTTATCAATATATTAATATATTTTAACAAAAAGTTAGAAATTAAATAAGTACATTGAAAATATAATTACAAATATTTCTTAATTACAGAATACTTTCAAACTTTGTTTATTTTTTAAAAACCCAATGGTTTTGCTATAATCAATATAATAAACTTCTAACTTCTAACTAGAATTAATTTGCAATGTTATTCTGTTTATGGACTAATAATTTTCATAAATCCAAAATAACATAATACAATTCACATTTTATTTTATGAAACAAAAAAATGTATAAATACTATATGAGTAGTGTTTAAACTATTTACCTTTAATACCGACTGATGCTGCTCCAGCCGATACTGCCGCTAGTGCATATTCTATCTGAACAAGTTTTCCTGAAGGACTATAACAGAAACAAAACAATTAAACTTAAATTGTAATGAAATAAAGCTACACAAATATTGATCAGGTATTTAATACAATTTATACATTCAAATTTTAAAGAAATTTGTTAAAAATATAAAATCTAATTTCTATTTTTTTTACCTGAAGGTAGTCAACGAGAAACTATATCTTTCAGTAGCCATATTTAGCAATGTATAAATTACCTAAACAAAAAAATATAATAAAACTTCAATATTTTAAAATGTAGAATAGAACAAACGAAAAAAAATTGAAAATCTTACAAAGTATTATTACAAAGCAAAAATTGTAGTTTGAATTTATTGTTTGTACCATTTATTTTATTGAGGTTAGTAAACACACCAATGTGACGTCACATATAATCATCAACAACAATCGATAAGAACTATTAATGTGATAATTAGATAACAATTTAAGGAAAATAATTTTAATAATATTTTGTTTATAAAATTTATTTATATTTTTTGAAAATGATGAACAATTTGAAAAATATAAGAACACATAATTTATTACTAACAAATCGTTTATTAAAACCAACTAAAAAACATATCAAAACAACAGAAGAAAATGACTGGTGAGTCATGGAAGTATATTAAATTAAAATGTATTCTAAATACTAGATTCATTTTAAAATAGGTTAATGTTATTCTAAAAATCGAATTAAACTATTTTTATTATGACTCCAACTCTCCGTCTTTTTATACTAATAATGATAGATACTTACAAAATATTTAGATTTGCCTGTAGGTATAAAAATAATTTTTTAAATATTTAACATAGTACCTAGATTTATAATACAGATTTATTAATTTAATATTTAATAGAACTAATTTTGTATGATCAATTTTATGAAACTGCTATTGGAGTGGAAAAAAGTTCTTGATTTTATAGGCAATGGTGAAATTGTTATTATCCAATAAAATTGCAAACTAATAAATACTATATTTAAAATCTAATCAACTATCTAACTATTAAAAAGTTAATTGTATTCCTATAATATAGAAAATATAACAAATTCTTAAAAGGCCAATATAAATCTTTGGCTTTCTGCAAAAAGGACTAGTGTCTAAAAAAACAAAAAATACAATTTATTACAATAATTATAGACTTATAAAGGATAGATTTTTAATTTTTTTGGAAATAAATGTATATTATCAATAACTAAACTTCCAATTTTAAATTTGTATTTAACATTGAGATTTTTGCACATTGCCACAGAAATAATATAATTTTAAAATTAAAATTAAATTGAATCTATAGTTTTTTTAAAGTAAAATTGATTTATAACTTATTCTGTCTGTGTACTTTACTTAAATATAAAAACTCCTAAATTTATGAATTATTTTATTTTAGGTTATTAATCACTACAAACTGGCATTTTTGGATTTACGTATGGACGCTAATGATAATCGCAATAGTAGGCTTAGGTGCCACTTTGATGCTACTGGTTGTCTTACGAATCACTACTAGCATGGAAAGCATAGAATTTTTAGCAGACAATGGGTTGACTAAGCTTATAGGCAATATAGATTTAGACGAAATATATAAAACTGATGGAATATTGGAAGGCTTTAAAGATATACCATTAGAAATAGGAAGTGAAAACAGCAACATAATTGTACACATTATCAATCCAGAAGATAAAAGTAAGTTTTTTAATTGTTATAGAGTAAAATCAGAAGTTACTTATATAAATATATTATTATTATTTATTTGCTTACAAGGTATGGAATCGGTGATTGAACTTGGATCTAGTAAAACACAAGTGAAAAACATTGATTCATTTACAGTGGGTAACCCGGATAATCCAATTTTTACTACTTTGTTTCCTAATTTTGGACTACCAGAAGGTGTCCGTCATTTGGATGTTGCTACAGTATATTCTAATCGGATAGTGAGCCCAATAAATGAAACACTAACATTAAGATCTTCTAATTACACTCGACTAAAAGGTAATGAAGGAACTATCATTGATGGATCCAAAATAAAATGGACAGCCGAAGGGGATATATTTCTCAGATCAGTAAATGGCACAGTAGTACTGAGTTCTGCTGGGATTTACTTGGATGTTCAGAATTTACCAGTAGTACTGCATCCCAGATATACTACTCCTCCTCCTCAATATAAACTATGCATTTGTATGCCAAGCGGAATGATATTTAGAGTACCTGTATCTACAAGCTACAGTTCGCATCTGGCTTGCAGTATGATTGATATAGAAGAAGGCAATCATCCATGTGAATAGAACGGTATGTTATTTTATTTATTTCTCTATAAATATAAGAATATTAACCTAATGATGTTCCGAGTGTCTGACAATTATATAAGGGCTACGCACTCAGTTTCAAAAAAGTATATTAAAAATACTTGCCCATTGGTATATTATTAAATTATCACTTGATCAAACCTGGTATCGGGCTGATTATTTTCAATTCAATTATAAAATACCTGGCTTAAAACATTTTAAATTATTGTTTTTAACTGATAAATCATTAAATTAATAAAATAATAACATTAATATACAACTGATCCATTAGGTTCGTGAAATATCAAAGGTATAAAGTGTCCTTTTTTGGAAATGCATTACTTCAAAAATATCTGTCGACAACTGTGTCCAGTATTCAGAAAGGTAAATGTTCACACTCAGAATATGCAACTAAAAAAGTAGAATTCATCACAAAAAAGCAAAAAAAATGCTATTCATCCAGTCATGCATTATAAAATATATTAATACCTAGACGTTTAAAGCTTTATATTTACATCTAGTTCTATAAAATAATTGTCTTTGTTTCAGTTCTCAAAATGCAACATTTATCATTATTTTAAAAATGATAAATGTTTCAAATGGTACTTATGTATTATTCAAATTACTCGCATTGATGGAGAATTCGCCGAATAACCATAATTTATGATACAATACTTACCTAATGTATTATTTGGACTAAAATTGTTGCGGATATCCGGCCACTTTTTCAATATTTAGCTAGGTCTTAATTATTTAGTACCCAGTTGTTTAAAAAAAAAATACATACATTGTAGGCTGATAAATTCTAAATAGCTGCAAGTAGCCTGAGTATAATTTCTTAAGTATTCAATTATTAACTTATTAACTTATAACAAAGAATATGTTAAGTGCAAACAAATTTGTCCGTAGATTAAAATTAGTGTTTTTATTTGAAGAGTATCATGAAAAACAAGTATTGTTTTTTTTCTTTCTTTATATTTATTCTAATACAACCTTATATTATTATAAAAATTATTTAATGATTTATTTACAACAGTATATGTATTTAATAAATTTACCCCCACAATAATTTAGAATAGAGATGTTATCAAATAAAAAACCAAAATGGAAAAAAAAAAGATGTCCTAAGATAATGGGGACGGGTGCAGCCACTGTTATAAATAATTTAATGTATACCTGCAACGATAAACTACTATTTACAAAAAAACGATTCTGAGCAGAGTTTATTTGATAATGATACTTTGTCAACAATATATGTAATTTTATAATAAAATAATTAAATAGGCTTTATATATTTTCTTTAATAACATTTATTTAATGTTGTACTGATTTTCCCACGTTTTATCCCAGTTTTTCACCTTTGTTGGGAAAACTCTTGAAAAAATCTAAAAATTGCCTATCTAAAGTACCTAATAAAATTTCTTTCAGAAACATTGCTGTCATTAAAAGTTCAAGCAAAATTTCTGATAGAAAAGTCGTTCACAGAAATAGAGAAGGCCATAATATATTTTCCTGGTTTTTTTTTTCGGTGTTTCATATTTGTTGAGAAAAATCCAGGGTAAATGGAAAAACAACCTCTCTAAAGTACTTTCCCTTAGAAACATTGCTATCATTAGAAGTTCATGCAAAATTTCTGGTAGAAAAGTTGTCCATTTTCTCATTTTTTCACATTTGATGAGAAAAATGAAAAATTATCTCCCTAATGTACTTCCCCACGCCGATTTCCTTTCAGGAAAGGTGCTGCATGTAGAAATCTAAGCAAGTCTTCTGGTAGAAAAGTTATGCAGATAAAAAAAAAAACATCTGTATAAAAACATAAACTTCTTTGCTCCACTTAGAATCACTTAGAAGTGTTTAAACAGGTGTCTAAATTCCAAATTGGTCACAACAATTATAATTTTCATAGCAAATTTCCTACTTAAGAGGATATATCATACATAATCAATGGACATTACTATAGTTGGGCTCACAAAAACATGCGAATTGACCACCAAAAGTAGAATTCAAATATAAGGGTTTTCAGTGTTATGGTTTCATTTTTTTTTAAATTTATATTTCAGAAGAGTCAAAGGGTCATATGCAGCTGTTGGAAAAAATGACTTGGAACACAGTCCCCATCAGTCACTTTTGTGGACCCAACTATATAATGTAAAATATTATTCCTGTATATTGCTAATTTTTAAAATATTAATAAATAATATGTATAAATGATTTACTATAATCTAACTTTACAAAATGTATTGGTCTTACAAATTTTTGCTAGTCTTAGTAATTTATCAGAAATATTAAAGTTTATCTAAGTAGTCCATAATCACTCTATTTATGCAGTAATATGTTGTTTTAAAACTACGAAAAAAATAATAAATTCTCTATTTTATTTAAAATATTTTTCCATAATTAGTTGTATTGTGAATATATGATGTTTAGTTTATTTTCCTCTTAAAAAACACCGGTTTCATATTCTTTTAACAGTTAAATTTTTTTTATAATGAAAAAAAATCTTTCAAAATTAGTAAATTAAATAGTTCACATTTCTACTATAACCATTTGTAAAAACTAGGTATACCTAGTAATTACATATTAACTTACTAACACCAATGGGTATAATTAGCATGATTACTGGTAAATTCTGGTTTTAACTTATTTCAGATAAATACTGAAACATACAATAATATTGCATGGGTTAATCATCATTAAATCTGTCAATTTAATTTATTTTCAATTTTTTTTTTTTTTTTTTAAGGTAGATAACATCTATTCAGAGAAAATTTAAACTTCTATTTTCATCTCTTAATCACTAAAAAAATTTATTTATTTATTCTCTTATAAAAAAATCTTTTTGTTAATTAGGATATCAATAAAAATTAAATTTTTACCTAAATAAATGGCTTTCTCACAGAAAAGCAAATTTAAAATAAAATAATTAAATATTAACAGATCTAAAAAATCACAGTAGGACATTTTGTATATATAACTTGTTTTACAATGATTCAAAACTTATGTTAGAACCATTTATTATTATTTATATTATCATATAAATATTCAAAATAAAGGAAAAATGTATAATACAAACAATTTTTGATTTATAAATATCTGAAATGATTTGTCCCTTTTTTTCAAGTGTTTTTTTTAGATTTTGAGGACATCTTTTGAAATTCAAATGGGAACTTTTTATGCAAACATAATTTGAAGATATTTGTATAAACATTTTTAGTGATTGAATAACAATAATTTATTCAAAAGTGATTGAGTGATTTAAAGTTAATACTGAACTATAACAGATTCATAGAAACAATTCAGTGAATTGTATAGTAACTGATGTCATTAGTTATTTATTAGGATGTAGTCAAAATGTAATTTAATTCTTTAAATTTCTCTCTAGCATAGTTTTGAATAAATTATTGTTTCATATACTAAAATGTATTAATAAAAAAGATGAACATACTTCGCAAGTGGGTGGGCTCCAATTGTAGGTGAGAAGTTGAGGGTAAAAGGGCAATTTAATATATATCTGTACGCAACAATTAACCATATTTCTAACGAAAAAACAATTCAGAGTATAGTTTAATTTATAAGTGTTGCTTTGTCAACAATATATATATATCATATTATGATAAAATAATATTATATAATATGCATTATATATTTTCTTTAATAATACTTGTTTAACACCTAATTTATCATTTATTATGAAAACAGCTGGAAAAATCAAAATATAACCTCCCTAAAGTATCACCTTGGTTATAAAAAAAAAAAAAAAAAAAAAAAAAAAACACTTAATCTAAAACATTCCTCGTTTTGCTCAGAATCTAAAAATATTTTTTACATTATGTTTGCAAAAAATGATCCCATTTGAATTTTAAAACTTAATCCTCAATTATGACTGCAAAAAAAAAGTTATTTAAGATGTTTATAAATTAAAAAACTTTGATTTTTCTCTATTTTGAATATTTGTATGATAAAATAAATAAATGTAATATAAATTTTGATTTACCTGTATGTATAAAAATTAAACATAGTTTCACACAACATAATATAGCAAACCGTTTATTATAATCTAAATAATACAAATCACTATTTGAACATTACTCCTAAAACATATTTAAAATCTTATCAGTTATCACTAACAGAAACTAAATAAATAACTCAAATAGTTGCAAATAAAGATTATACACACATTTAGATAGATTATAAAAAATTTTAGTACTCAACTAATAATCAATTTTGTCATATTACTATATATTTAAAGCCCGATACCTGGTAGTAAATTACCTTAATATTTTAGTCATAGCCCAGTTATTATAATAAATTGTCTACCCGGAACATCTATATACGATTATCAAACAGACTTAAATAATAATTAAAAAAAAAAAAAAAAACATTGCATATTTTTTTTTTAGATAGATAAATAGTATTACCTAGAGACTATATAATAGGCTAACATAATCTCTAGTATTACGTAAATATAAAAAAAAAAAACATAAATTGTTTATTATTATTAAAAATCTATATGAAGGTTATTATTTAAAAGTAAAAACGTTTTTAAGAAATCAACAATTTCAATATAAAATATGAATAGTATACTAATTAAAACTACTGACATTAAGTACACATTTATTTTAGACAACAAATTATATATCAAGAAATATTAAGACAAACGTGATAAAAATGTATATTAATAATATTTTCAAAAATAATGACCCATTAAACTTGAATTAAAAATAATAATAACAGTTTATAAATTAAAATATGTCTTAAATAGTTAAGACATAATTTAATCATTTTAAACTGTTTTTCTTTTATAAACATACAAATAAAAAATGTATTAAATTTAAAATATATAATCAAAAATCATCACCGATGGAATTTTATCGTCAATCTTTTTTTACTTTAGACACAGCAATTTTGTGTTTTTATTTTATTTCTTGTATTTTTGCTTCCTCCAAGTTGTCCACCATAATTTTTAACTGGGTAGCCTGATACTGATGTATCTTATCCATCATGTCCATGGTCCACTTCTTTTGTGTTTCTAACATATCTTGAACGAATTTCTGTTGATTTTTTATCAAATAGTTCATAAATTGTTGGTGTTGACAGCAAGGTGATTTTTTCGGTACCTGGATTAGATTGGAATTGATTCCTGTAATTAAACAAAAATTAGAAGAAACAATATAATTATTTTAATCATAAACTTAGAATCTGTAATATTATTCAGTGTTCATATATAATATTAAATTGGGCAAAGGTGTTGTTATTCTTTACAATATTATATTATTTAATTATTTTCTGTTATTTTAAAATATAATAGTTATTTAATCTACGTACCAATATTACTGCTAGTGGGAAGATCACGTATAATAATATTATTACTATTATCTGGCAATAAATGATTGTCATTTTGTGGTTCTGGTGGTAATGTACCGATAATGCCAGATGTTCTACTATACTCATCGACTTCAGATACATCCATATTATCCAATTCAGTGTCTAAATAAAATTTAAAATATATATATATATATGTATATCATTTGAGTAAGTACAGATTTCCAATTTACAAAAACTATTACTACATAGGTAATTTTTACTTTATCAAATATCAAATTAATTGGTAAAATTAAAAACAAAAAAAAAAAGTATATTAAGTATATAAAAAATTACCTAATCCGAAGGACATATAAAAACTAAACCATTTTTAAAATGTCACTGTGTATTAATTTGAACTCAGATAATTAAAAGCTTGTAAAATTAAAGAAAGATACGTAAAGTATTAATTATTAATTTTTATTAATTTATTCACATAGTTAAGTACCTGTGTCTCAATATATAAACATTGTTATATTTTTATTTACCATTCCAAACAGTTGTAATATTGTCTTCTACGATTTCAGTTTTTATTGTAGTATTTTCAATGCTCGATGAAATATCAAATCTGTCGTTTGATGTTGCTGAATAACTATTTTCAGTCCACGCACTCGGGTTTTCGATTACAATTGGCTTCGGCATGGTCAGGGGTTTAATTGGCTCCAAATTCATGGGTACCACCGGATCCAAAGCAGCTTTTGATTTTTTTTTTATATGCGAGGCCAACAACTTTTCCATTTCGTCCACAAACGGTGTTATTTTTCTCCTACGATTGAAATCTTCTTTTAAATGCTTCAGTTTGGTTTTACATTGTGCAGGAGTCTTGATAAACCCAACGTCGCGCATGTCTTTCGACAGCATTTCGAATATATCGTCTTTTCGGTGTAATCCATATTTTGACATGACATTGCGCTTTATACACAATGTCAGAAAATATCTGGTTTCCTCCTGGCGCCAATACAAACGTTTTAACTTCATGGTAAAAAATAGTTTTTATATATAGGCAGTTTTTTAAATACTCAAAAATGATTAAATTTTGGCAAATAGCGTTGATGATAGTTGGCAAAAAACGTTGAAGATGATCTGCTGAGCAGCTCGCTGCAGTATAATCGCGTATCCCTGAAAAACAAAAAAAAGATTCCATTAGGTATTATTTGAACACGAAATGTGGAAGTACTAGATCCGAAAATACTGAAATTACGATATTTGAAAAGCAAAAAAAATAATAATAACAATAATAATACATACTATGTTAGACGCTATTGTCTATAATGCCCGACAGAAACAAACGGCCAACAGGCCATGTGATAAGGACATAAGGCGCACAATAGTAAAGTAGAACGAGGTCTGAGACACTGATACGAACTAACGACACTGGCGAGTGTCGGAGTGTGACTAGAGGAGCACGCGGTTCTGGAATCGGCGTTGCCATCCTACGAAACCGTGTGTCGTTCGAACAGGTGGTACGTTACCCGCGACATTTGGCCGATAAATATTTTCGCGTTACAATATTATTGAGCCGAGATTCGGGCGTCACGATTTTACGAGCGAAAATAATCCCCGGTAAGTTTTATTTCGGTTTCGTTTCGATCGAGTGTTATAATATCATGTTGGGATATTTCACCGGGCCGCTATCGTACATACGTAATTTTCGTACCACGTGACTAATTGAAAAAAAAAAAAAAAACAATAAACAAGCGCACGTATACACGTCACATTTATCGTGTACAGATTATGATACGAATGTTATCGAGACCGGACGATAAATAAATGTCCATTGTTGGTTTCGATTATTATTTACATTATGTTGTTTTTTTTTTTTTTTTTTTTTTTTTTTTTTTTTTTATTATTATTATTATTTTCCCCCGCTTCGGAACGGCGGCCCGCTACAATAATATTAAAACTAGACATTTTCTCTCTTTCTCTCTCCGTCCACCCGTCCGCCGTCGCCGCTCATCGGACGACATGATATTATTGGTGCGTACAGCGTGTGCCGTCGTGAATATCGCATAGCTACGGATTTTCACGCGGAATTCGTAAACCGACCATTTTATCGTGCCCGACAGCGTTAAAAACGCAATGAACACTTGTTCACACAGCCGCCGACAGACAACAATCGCGACTGCGGCTCTGTAACACGGGTCGGCTGTGCGATGCCGATGTGGCCGATTGGCCACGCTACAACAATAATTACCCGTTATTGTCGATAAAATAGACGGTACACCAGCAATGGTAAATAATAATATTACACGGCGCGCGTAAAACCCGACGAGACGACGATATTATTATCTTTGTTATCATTATCGCCGTCGTCGTCGTCGTCGCGTCGACCGATAAAATATTATTATTTATCGTTGCCGAACGAGACCGTACCGTAGCGGAAACCGATGAAAACGGGTGTAAAACTCTGAGCGGGTATTCAGGGGAATATCGTAGACACCGCGTTGTATCGTATGCGCCCCGCGACCGTATACCGGTTGTCACCGTACACGCATTTAAAATACCTGCGTACCCAAAAATATCCATCGTAGGTTATTTCGTTGTTATTTCGGGTAATGCTATTCGGGATAACGCGGTCGGCCCGTCGCGTTCGGCAGTCCAAGAATATAAATATTATTCCCCGTGCCTAATTAATGCTCGTGAGGTGGCCGTGAGGTGGCCGCGCGGCGGCGTTGCAGGAGGTGGCGGTGGGGGGGGAGGGTCGGTGGCCGGCGCTCGGACGTTTCGCCTACAGTTTAAAACTGTAATATTATTACCGCGGTGGTTATGGCCGCGTCCGGCGTCTCAGACCGGCCGGACGATGCTTACGCAGAATAATTGAGCCTTCGAAACGCATAGAGAACAGTGGGTTTTCGGAGCGAATGCCGTATGTGTTTTTCGAACGTTACAATATGGACTATTGAAAAATGTTACAGTCGTTTAAAAAGAGGTAAACGAAATTGAAGGTTTTCGTATCATTTTGTATCGAGCTGTATAATATTTCGCAGAACACAAAAACCCCGGTCGGACATTCCCCCCGAACCGTCGTCCTCTATAAATGTCATAATTAGATACTTTTACTCTGACGTCAGAAATCAAGCTAGTTTTATTTATTGGTTGGACTGTGACACGGCAGTAGTGTATTACGCGGGTATAACGTCCTCTTGTTAATCACCGTGTGTTATTGTTTCGCCGAAACGTATTTGGTTTCGGTACAACATACAAAACGAAACGGGCAGCAAAAAAAAAAAAAAAACAACATATTAATGAAAAGAAATAACAGCGAGATTCGTTTTGACCTTCGGTCGCGTACCAATAAAAATATTGTTATAACAAGATTGTGTAGCGGCGGTTGAACGTTATGTACGATTAGAGAAAAAAAAAAAAAAAAAAAAAAAAAAAAAAATAAATAAAAACAAAATCGTCGTGTTCGGCCGAACGTCTCCGCGTCGAGCGTCGATGTTACAATTTATTACTATTATCGAAAACCGGAGGCGAAAAAAAAGGGGGAAAACATCGTTTCCGTGTACGCGTATTGGTTTGTTTGTTTTTATTTATTTATTTTTTCTTTCGTTCTCTCTCTCCGTCTATCGAAAATCGATTGCTCGGTACAAAATAATCGAGACAATATTATTATTTATTGCCGCGCGGCCCGTCCGGACCGCCGAACAAATTAGGTTACTGCGACGAGTCGTGATCAATAACTCATCGCCGGTGTGTTTCATACGTTAGTTTTGTGTTTGCGATAAATCCGCGTTATTAATAATACAAAAACACGAAAACTATTACGGATTTACGCGCGTGCATATTACTTAATTTTCTCGTCTATTACGTAACGCTCATAATAATATATCGACCGGAGGTTTTACGCGAATTTCCCTCTCCCCTACTCCTCTTCCTCCTCCTCACGTCGTCCGCCTCGCGGATTTTTACAATTTTCTTTTTCCGAAGTAAAACCGAGTAGGCGGGAGGAGGAGTGGAGGGAGGGGATACGTCCTCTGTGTTTGTATGGCGAAGATAATGGGGAGGGGAAAGAAAAAAAAAACAATAAAAAAAAAATTCCCACCAATTTACAATGCCGTCGTAATAATTGGTTGTGAATAACGTCGTACTGACCCGGGACGCCTTAAATGTTTCGAACTTCCGTTAGCACACCGCGGCGAATTGCATAATATCGATGCGAAAATTCAACGACAACGGCGATAGATAAAAATTGAATGTAAATAATCGGTGCGTTTAAACCGTCGCTACACGCCCGTAAAACGATTTCCCCGCGTTTTTTGCCGTACGCCGTAGGAACGATTCGGAAAATTAAAAACCCAAGAATACCGGATGGGGAGTAGGGGTGGGGATTTTAAAATTGTCGATTGTTTCGGTCTCCTCCCCCCCCCTCCTCCCCCGTCCCGTTGAACGTTTCGACGACCGGTCGAAAACGGCCACGATAACAATACGATTATATACTGGATTATCGGACCGCAGTAAATCGTTATTATTTAGAAGATCGGAAAAAAAAAAAAAAGGAAGAAAAAAAAAAAAGGTCGAATTCCGACTAGTCGGCGGTGCGGCGGGCGACGGCGAACGTTGGGGAATGACATAATCAATAGGACCGGGAGGTACACCCGTAATACCCACGTAAACGAAACAGTACCCAATTTCTGTGCGTCGACAAACGGAATTACTTCTCGGCCTTTTTTCCCGTCGGTAAATCTCGGTCATGCCTTTCCGTAACGACGACAACAATACTATAAACGTTATTATACAGGCGGGCTCTTGTCGAAGAGCAAGTAACAACGTTGTTCCCGTCGTTCGATTGTTATTATTATTTCGTTCGTCCGTAGTTCTCCCGCCGCCACCACCGCCGTCCGTGCCGTCGTAATAATCGGTAATACGTTGTGGTGTCGGTCGACGGCGGGACAGATGTATGTGTCCCGTGACGTACATAAAACGCTCGCTCGAGAATCCGACCGCGACGTTGCCGAACCGCCGCGCGTTCGTTCCCGGCGGCGTTCTGCGTCGCGCCGACAGCAGGTTTCGAAACGCCGAGCACGGTAGAACCCGAACGCGAACAGGTACCACCGATCATTCGACCGTTGTCGTTTGAAAACGCGATTCGGGTCCGGTTCGCGCGTAGTAATAATATTGTACCCGAAATGGACCGGGGGAAAAACGGATTGACCAAAATATTCCGCAACGCCGCCGTTCGCCGGATCGATAACGATAATATTGGCTGCGTGTAAACTCCTACGAAAATGATTTTTTTTGCTTGTATTTAAAACATAGTGTAAACTGCCAGATAGTCCATTTTTACTTGCCAAAAATAGATGGTGTGATCTACGCGGACCTTTTTACACTTTAGATTCCGAATGTAGCGAGGAATGCATAATGGTTTTACAATAATGTTTATTTGAGATAGTTGCACTTAAGCGGGCAAAAACGTACGATTTGATTTCAATATTTTGAATTAACTCTCGCGACGTTTTACATCAGAAATAGTTCTCTAATGGATAAACGATAAGAGATCTTTTTCGTTGAATTTTACATAAGTATTCGTATAGACTTACGAATATAAGATAATAAAATGTGAAATAAAATTTAGTTAACATATTAATATAAGGTATCCTATCAGAAATTCTCGAACATTTCGATAACGTCTACCTACGTTATTTCCGTAAAGTGGAAATACAACAATCTCTATCTGGTCTATCTCATAGTTTTGTTGTTTGCGACTGATTTTTACTTAATTCAAAATACTTTATTTTACTTTTTACAACTTTACAACTATCTGGTGTAGGATTTAACATAATCTGTTGTCAGAGTTTACGCTGTCTGCAGGAGATTACCTACATATTTTTGGAGTTCATCCATCCCTCAGAATATTTTGCGTTCTGATCGTGACGAAACACACCTGTCAGCGGTCGTTTTATTATAAAAAAATGTTATAGAAAACAACTATCTATTCACGTTTCGCCGGTCACACAATACTTCTATAATAATATTCCGTTCCTCTCTCTCTCTCTCACACCCACTCTGCCGCTAACCCTCCGAATATATTTGTTTTTTTTTTTTTTCTTCAAGTCCTCGACGCGCGCCGATTGGCGGTTCGAAATGTTGTTGTAGCGTTGTGACCGCGGCGGCACGTTGAAAATATTATTATTCACCGGACCCATCCGCCTATATAATGCAATAATAATATTATCGCCGTCCGTCGCCGCCGCATACGAATAAATAATGCGTTACCTACGTCGTCATAGCGTATACATTAAATTGTTTTTTAAACCTATAATTATTACCTTGCGCGCGTCTTTACGGCGCTAGACCAGACGGAACGCAATGCCGTACGCCGTCATCGTCGGCGGTACTCCGTAGTGTTTTTTACGCTCGATAATATTGTAATCCTCGAGGACAACACGAAATACAGGGTAATTTGCGTGTATTATACCTACGGCCGTGGTCACACGGTGACAGTCGTAGGTAACCACGATGTAGGTAACGCTTGTAGCCGTGCGAACGATATTTTCACACGCGCGCACGCGCTCGCTAGTTTTCACTTCTATCGCGATAACGACCGGAACTATCGCGACGCTAACGGTTAACTTTCGTGTTATGCTATCACGGCGGCGGCCATTGCCGCGTGACCGCAGCTTACGTAGGTACGATAGTATAATATGTACTGGAAACCAGTTTCGCGAGTTTCTCGGAGTAATATGATTTCTTTTTTTTTTTTTTTTTACTATCATTTATTCTTCGGCATTTACTGCTAACCCAGAGAAAAATAATATTAACAATAATATTATGATGCTGTTCGCCATTGCCACGGCGGATGCGATCGGTCGTTATCGATATTACTCGGACGGCTCTCGTTTTACACAGGAGACCGTATATAATGCAACTCGGCGAGAAGACGCGTTTGTTCACAATCAAAAAATACCGTAATAATTGGCCGGCGAGCGTGCAATTATTATTTCGGTGCCGTGGCCCGTGCCGTGACGTTAAGTCCGGGCGAAAGTGATCAGTCCCGTGTGTGTATCGCGTACACGTTAAGACATAAGTTCTCATTAAAATCGTACACGCGTCTCTGACCTCCAAATTTGTACGGTTTTTTTTTTCTTTCCCCCCGTACAAAAATGTTTTCGCGTCGGCATTTTATTATATTATACACGCGGCCGGGGTTCCCCGAACGTTCGTTTAAAAACCCAACGCGTTCGCGTGTTCACTGATCTGAAATCTAATTCATTAGCATTAAAAATTAATTTAGTATAGACGAAAAATAAACGCTTTTTATAATAGGTACGTCATCCGAGCTGTATCGATAATTTATTACAAATTGTAACTAAACATATTTTATAATAACATAGTGGCACGATTACATTATTATTAGGTTGAACGATTCGCATTCGCGTGCGTTGGTAAAACGAATACACTTCCGAAACCTGGATCATAATTTTGTATAGGTGTACATTGAATGTACACACTCGTATATACGTTAATTTGTCAATGATTTGCATTCGTTCTGAACCATGATTGTATGGCGTCTCGATGTTTTCTATAATAACAATAATATGCTGGTGAATAAATAAACTAAAATGTATTCGTATAATATATTATTTTGTTCGTCGATATTCCATGAAAAAAATAAAAATAAAAATAATAATAATAATAATAAAAAGAGCTGATACTGCTGATTGGTGCGCCACTGTTGTAGGTAGGTAGTCGGAAATGTAGGATACACAGTTATTTAATTTACAACTGTATAAATCATTGCTAGCGAAAAACGATTGTTAGCAAAGTTTCACATGTTTTGAAACGCCATACATTTTTTTTCGACTTTCGTCAAAATTTTAACTCAAAAATATATATATATTTTTTTTATAACCAATTAAAAAACATAATAAGCTTCGTGTTAAATGTTCAAGCATTTCAATTTGGTCAAACAATTTTATCTAAAATACCTACTGAATAAAAATTGCGTAAAAAACTCGTAAAATTAAAATTTCTATTACTAGCTCGAAAATGGCTCAACTATTTTTAAAATTTGACTATGTATATAAAACGTAAATATAGGTTTTCTATCAAAATTTTAAGTCGTTATGAATATGTTTAATTGAATAACAACAACAAAAAAACAAAATTAATAATAATAAAAGTATTATTGCATACATTTTCCCGTTCTTTCTACGTTTTTTTTTTTCGGTTTTACTCAGTTGCTAAGAAACAAAATACAAAAAATCAAAACACGAATTTTTCATCAACAACTATATCCAAAATTCCATAAAAAACAAGGTCTCTTGTCGTTTTTTTAAATGGTACAATACTTCTGGTTGTACGGTTCATAAACCGTACAAATTTTAAATAAAGAAATCAGTAACGTTGCGGTGCTCTGTAAATATTTGTCTATTTTTCTTAAAATTTTGTTTCGGACCCATTGAAAATTCAAAATAAAACCTTTTTAATTTTTAATGCACCAACAAAATTCAAAATGTAACAAAAAAAGTATCCTGTTATTTTTCAACTGGAAATCAATTGTTTTTGGTAAACAAGTTGTTTATAGACTGAAAAAAAAATACAATTATACAGTTATATTGAATGCCGTAAATAATAAATGGAATCTATATACAGCAGAGGTTCCCAAAGTCTGGGTCACGATCATATTTATAGTGGGTTTCGATATATTTTTAAATAATACATTTTTTAGTTTCTGAGTGGAACGAGGGATGTATTGGTTTTATAATGATATTTATTTATTTTTTTTTTCTATCCATGAACAACTTTTCTACTGGAAATCTCGCTCCGATTTACAAGCACATTGTAGTAATTTTTCTGAAAGGAAATCTGAATAGGGTTATACTTTAGGGAGGTAATTTTTTTGTTTTTCGAGTTTTCCTAATAAATGTAAAAAATGGGAAAATGTACGAAATGTAGGTATTAGTTAAAAAATAATACAGCCATTTTTTTCCTTGTGAACAAATTTTCTACCAACAAATTTGATCTATACTTGCCATTGAGGGTATGCGACTGAGCAAACTTTATGAATCATCCAGAAATGAATAATAAACCAAAAAAGACATCCTAGGATAATGGGGTCGGGTGCAGCCACTGTTATAAGTAATTTAATGTACACATGTAAGCAACGATAAACAATTGCTAACAAAAAAACTATTCTGAGTGGAGTTTAGTTGATAGTGCTGCTTTATCAACAATATATACATCATATTATGGTACAATTCCAATTATTCCAATTACAAAATTAAAATTAAATATTTTCTCGGTTTTTCACATTTGATGAGAAAACTTTTGAGTAAATAGAAAAATGGCCTTCATAAAGTATCTTTCCACATCGATTTCCTTTCAGAAAAAGTGCTAAACATAAAAATCAGAGTAAGATAGTTGGTTAGAAAAGTTGACCACAAAAAAAAATTAACATCTTTGTAAAACCATAAGCTTTTTTGCTCCACTCAGAATCTAAAAAGTGTCATGAATATTATTGTGGGTCGTCAAAATTTAAAATATTTCTAAAATAGATTATACCATAAAAAATTTGGGAACCTCTGATATAGAGAGTAGTATTGTCCAGCTGGTAGAATAATAATATTATTTATAATATGTCTATACAATTTAAATAATACATAATAAAAAAAACCATTCCATTTGCATACAGATAAAACAACATTGCCGGCAGTAATATTATTTAACGTCTGTGAGAAGCCACCTTAACAAAACAAATTCACTCTGCTCAGAATCTAAAAATTGTAATTTCAGTACTTTATAGACGTTGTTTTTATTTCACAATTAATTTAACATATATATATATATATGTTCATAATATTATTAAGATTATTATAATTTTCGTATAAAAAAATCCAAATAACCGCGATCGTTTCATACATAACAACATTTTATCGTATAATTGCTTAACTGCGTACCAACTAATTGTACGAACCAATAAGTTATACCTAACATACAAAAAACATATAATAACATACATTACAATAATATGACTACTGCGAGAGGAGGAAACTCTGAATAATATTATTATAATGTAAGCTAAAAGTACACAAAAAAATGTTTGTCTAATCTGATATAATATTGTTAAATCTTATTCTTTATACCCCTACTCTTTGAACAACTTGTTCTAGTTGCGCCACTGAAACTGTAAAAATAAATTACAGAAATTTTCCGGAAAGTATTCAGTGCACGAGAAACTATAAAAAAAATCGTCGATCATGTATTATTTAACTTAATTTCATATTCGATCTGTTTATCCTATGTTCTAATTAATTAAATAAGCGCTTATAATATGTTGAATAGTTATAAAATAACATTATTATAATATATTACAAGGGTTTTAATACCGATGTAAAATATTTTTTTTAATCATTTTCTATTAACCTATCGTTTTCAGTAAAAATGAACCTTAATACTAAAAACCCTCTATCGATTTGGTCCAGTATTTTTAAACCTTAATACTTAATCAATAAATAGCTTGTGTACCTAACATTAATTATTTTCGTTCAGCCGTAAACCGTAATCATATTGACATGGCAGTACAGTAATGAAATGAGTCAAAAATTCATAATCACGAACTAAAATAATGTGTACTGGCAATGGTACCAATATCTTTGGTCGAGTTTTGATACAAAGTTTCATGGTGGGAAAATATATAAAATTCTATAATTTTAGAGCATTCTAGTAAATATTGAGCCTAAAACGTTATATTTTTCTAAACAATAATTATTGTTAATTTAACAGTTTACTTTGAAATATAATGTTGGCAACTGTCCACTAGGTTTGATATTATTATGACGTCAAAATAAACATTTCCCTAACTCGAAGAACCAGTTTGATTGGTTAATGAAACCGTTTTCTTAGAACAGGGGTGGCCAAACTTTTTTTAGTAGAGATCTACGAAGAAAATATTTGTCCATTAAGGATCTAAAAAAATTAAAATCATCAACAATTATTGTAATTTGTCTACTGATTACCTATATGAATATAAGTTCTTACAAAGGGAGATCGAAATTTAAACCGTCCGTGATCTACCGGTGGATCCCGATCGACCGTTTAGCCACCCCTGCCTTAGAACCATACTTCAGATCAGAGGTAGTCAAAACCGATTAGTTGTTCGAGTGTTTATTCTATATTGCTCGTTAGTGTTGTCGGTTAGTCCGTAGGTAATATACAGTCGTAGCAGTCGAGTATCAGTGAAGGTCGTACGTGTATGGTTTGAAATTGTATACGTTTTGTTAGTTTAAAAAAACGTCGCTAAAATCGTTGTAGATCATATATTTCCACGTGATCCCGATTCCCCGTATCAAAACTCAATTGCACTGCTACTGCCCGTTTGCCTTGTCGTTGCTAATTCATATTATCATAGTCCATGGTCATAATAGAGTATAAAGATTGTACAATAAAATATTCTGGTTAAAATAATAAATAGTTTATCACAATATGTATTAATGATAGTAATTTATCTGACAACAAATGATGATAACCCGATTGTAGTAAGACCGAAGTGTCAGTTCGTTAGTTATTGTTGGAAAGAACAAAACATGTAGGTATCTATGAAATTATTGTGACCGTAACTAAATCTTAATTAAATTAATCAGGACTTGAGTCTCAGGCTTCCGGTAATTCAATTATATACCTACGTAATGCCCAATGCGGTAAAATTGTTGAAATCGAATCCATACAGACCAAAAGGTATAATATTATGTGTATAGTATATGAGTCTTATGGCTACGGAAATCCGAAAGTAGAAAAAATGTGAAAATGTGTAAAATATTTTACATGTACTTTCATAAGTGTTATTTTCCAATTATTTTCAATATATAGGTAGGTGTTTCTAATGGTGTCTAATAATTTATTGCTTTTATTTGTTTGCTTACGTATACTGTTTCATACTCGCTCTTGTATAGAGTGAATATTAAAGCATATAAAAAGCAATTTTTTTTTTTATGTTCACATAACCGGTTAAACATGAATATAATGTATATTATATGCCCATACTGCAGTATTTTACCGTGCCTATATTAACCAAGTTGTTTTTAAACATTATTTTAATTTGAAGGCTTTCGTAGATAACAAGCTAACCTATAAATTCTACCAAAAACATATTAGTGGTTTGTAAACGGATACTATGTCCCTATGATAATGCCTTGTAGACATAACGCCTGGTGCACTTGGCACCTTTCGCAGGCCCTTTAGCACGGCCCTGCTGATTACCTCAGTAGATATGAGGCAGTAAATTCGAAAATCACGTCCTTCAGTAAAAAATAAATATACTTAAGTAAGTTTAAGTTTTGGTTTGCCAAAAAGGTTGCTTTTGTAACTATTTGTAATTTTAAATATCTTAACATTAGTAGATAAACAAAATGATTATTTAAAAACACATGTTACTTCAAAAAACATTGTGGTTTAAATGCAAAATATACAATTAGATACTCGTAGTTAAGTAATTAAGTCACTGCCGTTAGTGAGTCAACAATATATATTATATTCTAATCGTATTCGTGTTTTCGAATTATTGTAAATTATAATTATTAACTATCAACTTATTGGCTCTTGAGAATTAACTAATATTTAACTTGATATATTCTATAATTATATTCTTGTACAGATATAGGAAACTATAAATTGAATTTCCCCTCGCCTATGTTGTATATTCTTTATATAACAATAATTAACCGAATACTATAATACTATGCTATAATAAATTATGCTAGCTACGTCCAAGAAATGGTGAAACCTTTTAGTGTATCAATTGACTAACGTCCGGCATACTATGTATATCCAAAATGTTATCCAACTGACTTTATTTAAGAAGTCTGAGAAGTGTACAAAGTTAAAATAACACCATTCACTCCCAACAACATAGTTAAATTCATGTTAAAGTTTATCCCAAATCGTATAACTCACTTTCACACATCGCTATTAACAATTCATCTACAAAACTATTTTAATTTTAGAGTTTGAATTAATTTGATCCAGAGGGAACCGAAAGATAATATAAATGTCCACTAATAACGGGAAAAAGATATGTTTACGTTTAATATATGTGTATTTAATAGACACAACAAAGTGCAACAGTCTCTACTTTCGGTGAAAATTTGACAAACAGTTAATACAATTTCTTTAGTGATGTATTGTCACATAATATTATACTTCCTGAGAAATTTGTAAATCAATTACACAATTAGTTCAGTATTAAAAATCGATTAAATATGACATTGATCTATTTATACGACATTAATTTAAGAAGACATAGTTATTAGTTAATTAAATTAATTTATCATATAATATTATTAATTCTCTGCAATTTCATATAATTCTACATTTATGTTTAGCACACATATTTACGTTGTTGAGACTTTAAATTGTGCCATTTTGGTTGAAATTATAGATTTTAAATAAAATATGAACAATATAAGAATAGTTCTAAAAGAATTTCATCATAAATTAAAAATTAAATTAATTAATAGACATTTCTCATGGGAAAGATTTTGTTCTATATTCTCGATGTACACATATTATTATTTTATATAAACACGGTAAAACACATCCGGTAATAGCATGGCCCTAAAATATATGTTATTACTTTTTAGGTATCTACGAAAACATACAAACTTCAGTAACAGATTTTTATTTTGACAGGAGTTTTACTCAAAAACTGGTCTTCCCCTTTTATGGCATCATCAGTTGAATGCGATAATCGAACCGAACCGTATCATTATTTACTTTTTAAAAATTAATTTTATTTAGACAGATAAACGATGAGTAACAAATAATGCATTTCGTCATAGCGATTTTCAATATTTTACCAAATAAAATCGGTTTCTCATTTTCCAATATATCACCGAAAAGATAATATACGGTTTAGCTAATGGTACGGTTAAAAAATTGAATAATATTGGAAAGCCATTGGAATGAATATGTATTAAATGGTCAAAAATATTGATTTATGAGCAAATAAGTATTCGCGTTATTATGTACTTTATTTTTAATATAGGGGACTGTGGTAAATTCCCGACCTAAATGTTCAAATGGCTCTCAAATCGTAGATATGGACTAGAAGACCTTTAAATTGTATATAACTATTCATACAGTTATAAAGAATAGTGAAGGGAACATAAACAATTGAGTGATTTCAACAATCGAGAAGTGAGTAATCGAGAGATTCACTTGAAAAAATCTCGGTCAATTTAGCATTTCATTATACTCAGTTTCCCGATACTCTGTACAACTCGCATTGTTCAATATTCGCGAGGCTTGACAATTAGCTCTTCAATTAATTATTATTACCTTTTAAACAATTTATAAAAGACATATAATAACGTGTAGGTACAACAACTAACGTTACTAATTTGTATTCAATCATTTTATGTTTTAGATTAAAACATCAGTCGATTTAATTTCGTGAGAATCACTCGCTGATTAATTTATCACTCGTTTTAGTTATCACTCCACTTCAGTTAATTTCGATACCGAGAGAATCGCTCGAGAATTTTCAAAACAATCGAAATAATTAAATAATTCTAACAATAGAGTATTTTGAGTAATTTCTCTCGATTGTTCCCATGACTAATAAAGAATAAGTTTTAAATTTCGTGCTTGCCACTCGTACATAAAATTATCAGTCTCTTGTAATTTTTTCACTGCTGTACCAATTTTAATATTGTCTGTAACAATAAGTATCTAGATCAGTTTTTCCTAACGGGGATTCACCCACTTAGGAGGCGTGTACACATTGATGGGGAGGCACAAACAGTCTTCACGAAGTAAAATTTATATTTATTTAATTATTTTTATTTTTGAATGCAGGGAAAAAATGAAAAATTAATAACGACCGGTTAACGGTTATCGATAAGATTACGAGTGTTTAAATATGGAATCCGTATATTAATCGGCGCAATAACAAGATGACAGGAGAAAGAAAGGGATTAATTTCGACTCGATTTAGTTTCGTTTTGCTGTTGCACAGTGCAGTGTCGTAGTATATAGTTGTCGTGAATGTACGTACGTCAAAGTAATATTATTACATTCGAAGTTATATTTATTATAGCTCCCCCCCAAAATAAGAATGTATATTGATAATTATGTCAAGTTTGGTTTTACGTTTATTGAAAAGGATGGTGTATAAAAACCCTCCTACCAAGTCGACTAGAACGACATTTAACCACAGCTCATCCGACGCTAAAAGAAAAACCTATATAGACCTATATAGATAACCTATATAGATTTTTTGTTGCTAAAAAAAATTCGTTAAGTAAAATGAAACTTGACAGTATTGGAGAATTTCAACAGAACAATGAAAAAATTGTTGAAGCTGCATACCGCATCGCGTTCATGATGGCTCAGCAAAAGAAACCACATACCTTAGGTGAAAAACTAGTTAAGCCCAGCATACTTAAAGCTGTTGAAATAGTACTTGATGAAGAAAGTAAAAGGAAAATAGCTCAAATATCTTTATTGGATAATACAATAAAACGACACATAGATAGCATATATAAATTAGCATTGGATATAAAAAATCAGTTAATTCATAAATTAAAAAATTACATATTTTTTACAATTCAGTGTGTGAATCAACTGATGTGGCCCATTGTTGCCAGCTTCTAGTTTACTGCCGTTTTATAAATGAACAGTCTGTCACAGAAGAAGTTCTATTTTCCCAGGCTTTAAATTTCACTTCAAAAGGCAGTGATGTTCTGTCTGCCATTAAAATATTTTTTGATCAAAATGGTCTCTCTTGAAAAAATGTAGGTGTTTGTACTAATGGTACCCCTGCAATACTAAGGTCACGATTGGATTTTGTAAAGCTTGCGAAAAATAAACACTCGTCAATAATTGGTTTTCATTGCGTAATACATAGACGAACTTTAGCTTCAAAAACCTGCCCATATATCCTAAAATTTCAAATGAAGCATTAAGGCCCGGCGTTCACCAAAGTAACGTGATTCGTGATATGACAAGTGACAAAAGTAGAACATGCAGTACTTTTGTCACCAACAAAATTTTAGAAGTTACACAAAACTGATACGTGATCTGACAGGTTTGATCAGTGTACGAACATGAATGATTTTTGTATGTGTGTAATGACAAATAACTAGTATGACACGTCACTTGCTAAACCACTCGTCACGTCCCTTGTCATATCACGAGTCACGTTAATTTGGTGGACGCCGGGCCTAAAAGTACTTATACAATTTGCATAGACTTATTATTTTGAATCTAGGTTCTCCAGTTTGGCCGTTATAAAAACCAAACACAGTAATCACTTGGATGTTGAATCGAACTTGAGATGTTCACTATCAAACCTCAAGCTGAACATAAAAAATTGTCCAAAGAAAAGTGCTGTTAGTCTTCACATTATTTAATAATATATATCATATGTATCCCATCCATATTGGTTTTCGATGAGCATTTTGGGAACTAATCTTGCACAAACCTTGTGATAATACAAATTTCGTGTCAAAATCGTTTTAATAGTAGTCTTACTGACATCAGAGTTTAATTTAATCGATCTTTAATCATTATCTTCTTTACTTTTAAAATCATTTCATCCGGAACTGATAATTATCCGACACGCTGATGATCATGGACAGCTGTACGTCCGTTTTTAAGCTTTTTGCACCATTTCGGACTTTTTTTTTTTATAGCCATACACTTCATATAACTGTCTATGAATTTCTATAGGTGAAATGTCCTTATGAAACTAATCTCACAGAACGTAATTCACACCTGGTGGAAGTAGTGAGTGGAAGCTACTTCATGATTAGCTATTAATTCAAAACTAAACGTCGTACTCGTTGTAGACAGCTCGGAGTGATATTAGTTTATAAGAAGAGGGAAAAAGCTACACGCTAGTATTAATAGATTTTGCATTCAAAAATTCCTTGCGTTGCTATTGCCGTAGAGACCTTATTTTAACAGCCCTCGTAATTTACTGGTATAAACTATGTTAGGCGTACGTGTCTAAATTACAAGGTTTTTCACTATTCTGAAATAGCTTTGCGGCAATCAATCCACTGATGCAATATTAGTTTTGATTATAATCATGAAATGAGGTGATTGTTTTTTCTTTGAATAAAAAACCTATTCATTAAACAACTTTAAACTAACTATATTTGGTAACCGGTTGATAAAATTTCACGTTAAAACAAAATTAAATCACTCTATGTATAGAAGTTACCAACTGCAAATATTAAGTATCACTGATCACACTCCAAGATGAATATAATATATAAACACTTTCATTTTTAAATTTTATGTGTTACATGTATTTTAGAAAATTAACTGTCACATTCACTTGTTCAGTCAGTAGCATACATTCAAAACTAAACTGGGATAACAATTTGAATGGCTAATACTATATTTGTATACTTACCATTGCCCCCACATATCAAATCAATTTGAAAACCATTTCTATAAATTTAATCATGTATAATAATATGCAACTGTATATCAACACACAGCCTAAGAAACTCTTGAAACTTAATATTTTGCATTACAGAGGTTTCTTATAAAATGTATTTTAACCACTCAGAAAAAATTTTTAAAAATGCAATCTTTAAAGAACGACTGACATAATGACTGAGGGTTTTTAGTATTTATGGAACGAAAATAGATTTTTTGTTTTATTATAAATTTATGGTTCACCCATAAAATCGATATTATTAGTCAATTTGGTTGTCACGAGTATTAAGGTGGTTACAGTCAGTCATTTTCTAAGGAGTAAGAATTAGGCAATTTATGTGGCGGTATAAACAGTTCGTGTCAGTGTGTGAAAAGTTATTGAACATTAGTGTGAGTGCAGTTCAAAGCGTGTACCATCCACATTGCCATAGTACGTAATCAATGGTAATGTAGTGTCACATCTAATAACTCGTATCATATTGTTATTGCAGTTATTTTTGGGTCATCTAATTTGATGACAATATTATAAATATTAATATCTTGTTTATTTCTACAATCTACAGTTATTATATTGTCCACTGTGTAATATAAATATTTTTACCTACTATTTTATAGTATAAAAATTGTAATAAAAATATTATTACGTTATAATGAGCATATATTAAAGTATTTTCACTCTCGTTTAGTTCAGTTTATTATGTGTGAACATGTGAAAGGTTTTTCTATTTTTTTGTATCAATATTTGTTGTCTATTTTTGGTGTTCATTACGTGTGTTTCGTCTTTCAGAGATTCTACATTGAACGGGTAATATTTTGATTTTTCTTTATCCTTTAACTGTCTCGAAAATAAAAATTATATTGTTATCAACTAACACGAAGTAAATATTATTTGGACTTTGTACCTACTCTAGTCTCTAATGACTTGTATAAGATTAATCTTTTATCGGCAGCGGTAGCCTTATCGCCGCCGCCCAGTAATTTATAAACCGATGCGGTAAGACCAGCTGTATACATTGTGCGCTCTAAACCATCAATATATTCTTCAGTCACTATACACTGTGTTCCAAGTACCATTAATTCTTCAATATATTATTACTTTAAGACGGATCAAAAGTAATTTTTACTATTTTCTCAATCATGGATACTCTGTCAATTGAGCTGGGTAAATGGACCAAGTCAATGTTATTTGACTTCGACCTGTTCAAGTCACTCCCAACAGGTGTTAAGTTACGTGATGAATTGTTGCAAAAACTTTTTTGTCGACCTGGTTCTGGTTTACCATCAAATTCATTAGATGTTGCAAATATATTACAATCAGTTATTTTCGAACTCAAAAACCTCTCTCGGAGTAATTTTAAAATGTACAGTAAGCTCAACTGTCTTATTATAACGGGTTCCACTGATAATACCGTTAAACCCAAACTTCCCCCAATTAGTAAGCCTATGCAAGCAACCCAACCAACTTCTGATAGTAAGATCTCAGATATAAAGAGATTAAAGAGACACACCTCAACAAGTAACCAAGCACCCAACTTATGCCTCCTTTCATAACCAATTCCCCCTTCAAAGCCTAAATGAGGTATTAGAACCATAATTTTGGCCTGAAAGTGTCATTGTGAAACGTTTTTGGGGTCGTCTTCAACTAGCTATGTTAGTTCCCCAATTTTTTAGTGAAAGATTATGTGGTTTAGTTAAATTATCAGTCATTTTTACTTCAGGCACATTATTGCATACTTTAGGTTTTCATATGACATCCAAAAATCCTGACAACAATCATCTATCATCTTTATCACAATTTGCATTGGACACATATTTTAAGCACTGTGAAACAGTAATTAGTTTTAAATTATTTTTTACCTGCAGTGCATTTGGTACAAAATTTGTTGATCTTAAAACACAAAAGAGATTTTCTAAACAATCTTGAGTGAATCGTGATGTTAAAATAAACTTGAAGTTTCTGTCGTTTAAAAAATATCTGAAAGCTGTGGTATTGATGTAGTAGCAAGAATTGATCCACTTTGAGAAGGTTTCCATAATGTCTTTACTAAAATAAATAAAACAAATACAGTAAACTATAATTTAAGTTTATTTTCATGATTTATGAATACAAATTACACAATTTACTTCCAATTAGTTTTAGCTATTCTGTCTTTAATATCATCATATAGTATACCGTTTACAGACTTTCCAGTAAAATAATACCTCACAGTTTGTTTCCATCTAGAAGTAATACCACCCACCATGAAAATTATAACATTGCCAATATATTTATTCAGTGAAGTATCATAGAGTGATACTGGTGTAATTGCCATCTTATTTATTATTAATACACATTCTCTCTCAAATTCACATGCGAACGATTTGATATTTACCTTTAAAAAATAATACACTTCATCTAATATACCACTATCAAATTTTAAATTTTGAAGTCTTCTTCGTAACATACGTAGGGATAGTAAAGGTATAATCTGTGATAATATTCCATTATAACTATTATGTTTACATGTAAATTTAAGCTTTATGGCCTTTTTAACAGTTTCATTAGTCCATTTCATAAATATTGTACATTTTTTGAATAAAGCTTTCATTTGATCATTGTTAAAAATTGAAGATAATCTACTTTGCAGCTTTTTTATGATCATTTCAGCTGATTTTAACTTTTTTCTTGTATTATAATACATAATGTTGCATTTATTTGCATTGACCCATAATTTTGAACATACCTTGTTATATTTTTCCATGTTATTTTGATTGCAATCAAATTGGCTTTCTTCTTCATTTTCTATATGATAATCATTATTTAAAAGGGTTTTGGAATCAGTTGAAATTTCATTGGTATACAAACTATTTATTTACGTTAAAGGAACATTTGATTTTTCCAACAGGGCTTTTTATTTATAAAACTTTTAAATGAAACAATGTTGGGAAAGTATCACATTTTAAACGGTGACTTCCATCTTTCCTAATCTTCTCCCACTTATTTTCTTCAAAATACATCTACAAAATACATTGACTTATTATATATATAGGTACATAGCAATAATACATTAATAAATTTAATCTACAAAATAATTTTTGATAGTTACTGTTTAAAATTAAAAAACAAATTATAATTATTATTTGAAGTATGTATATTCTAATAGTATAGACTGTAGGAAACTAAACCTTTTTGTAATTATATTTTATACATTATATTAGAGAAATATAATGTAGGTGTAGGTAGGCAGTGACTTCCAGACTTTGGTAGTATTCCAAATGTGTATTCTGAGTACTTTTTTTTAAGTATTCGAAATAATTTTAAAAAGTATTTTACCCAAGAAGTCTGGACTGACTTCATAGTATAATTATAGGTTTATAAATTTAGGAATCACAAATAGGTACATATTATGAGTTAAATAGCAACTTAACTCAATTATATTAAATTTGGACCAATGGTTTTCTAGGACCTGAAATTATTATGATAGAAATAAATAAAATAATATTGATTTACTCGCTGAACGATTAAAGTGTTTTGAGAATTAAGTTAAGTAGAATCAGCAAAAAACATATAATTCATTAAATAGTACCTACCTACTTATGGAATTATAAGTATTATACCTATCTAATAATATATTTGAATAAATAAATTTTCATCTATAAATTAATTTAAATAATTGTGTGTATACATTTTTTGATATAAGTAGTAAAATTATAACTATCTAAATAATATTACTTTATGATGAGTTTTAAAGGTTAGAACTTGCCTCACATATACAAAAGTGTTGTAAAGGTGTCCATTTGTCTTATTTTATTTTGGCCACCCAAAGCTTTTTCCTAGTTTGGTTTCTGGGAAAATGTTTCATTAAATACCTTTTTTTTGTCTGAATTTGTATACTCGATGGTTACTTAACAAGGCATAATGAAGTAAAACACTAAAAATAATTTGTATAGAAATACACTACCATGAATAATAAATAATATTTGTTCTTTTATAAATATTTTTATGGTTAACCAAATAAAAAGCAACATAATAACAATTAGGAGTAAACATGGTAAATCCGAAATTTTATTATTTATTATTTATAAATTATTTTTCAAATGGAAATATGCCTTGGCTGTGAGAAAATTATGAGACTTGAGCTAGTACGATTTTAATCCTGTAAAAATAATAACATTTCTTAACATCTCTTATAGAGAACGGTCGAAAAGTTTTTTTAGAAATATGAATTTATTCAATAGATATAACATGAACAAAAATGTTGTAAAAACTGAATTTTTTTATAATATTATAGTATTGTCAAAATGTCTAACCTTAAAAAATTTCTCCGACCGTTCTCTAGAAGAGATTAAGAAATGTTATTATTTTTACAGGATTAAAATCGGACCATTCAAGTCTCATAATCTTGACAGAGTGGAAAGTTTACAAACTATTTATTTTTTTTTGACCGACTAGAATCACCTTAAGAAATTAATTAACGATCTCAATAACGGCTAACGGTGATATGGACGAAGAAGGAAACTGGAAATCATGGGGAAACTCGTTTTTATTTTTGTTATTTTTTTTTCGTTCAATACTGATATCGGCAAAGCCGTGTCAGTTAGTTATTATGAAAAAAATATAATTGAGTATACCTAATGGTTTAGTTTTACATAAATCTTAAAACTCATTTGATGGTTTAAAATGTAGATAGAAACAAATTGTTGGTAGCAGCTAGATACAAGACAAAATAACAATTATATTATTAGTTATAATTGTAATTTGTTATTAATCTAAAAATAACCTTCAATTCCTGTAGTTATAAATTATAATCACCACGATTTCAAGATAATAATATCGTATTCATACTTCATACAATGATAATATTAATATTGGATTATTTTTGTTCCTAACCCAACTAATGTAATTATTGCGATAACAAATACAAGAGAAACCTAAAATAAATGTTATCTCCTATGAAATAATTTGAGGAAAATATATTTTAATCTGATAAGTCATAATAGTATGTTAAGTTAAATAATATATTATATTCTTTCTCAACTTATAATGATTCAAATATTTGTACTGTCGGATTATCGTGGTAGAGGGAGGGCAAAATGATACCTTAGTTCCACACAAAATTTTTAAGGCGTGCCCCCCCACAATTAGGTCACTGTCTGTAGGTATTTACAGAAAAGAAGGGAAATAAAAATAATAGTGATACATCGACTTTGAAACAATGAATATAATTATTTGTATTCAATGAATCATAATAAATCATTACATAATTTTGGCGATTTATACCCACCACAATTTAATTTAGTTTCCAGGTAACACTAAATATTTTGGCCGAATGAACATGGATTTTGTTTTCAGGAGGTGATAGGAAGTACAGAAATACATACTTTAGGATAAATTTTAGTTTTTAATATTTTTGGTGCTCGCATGTGCAGTATAATCAAATTTGTTTGAACAGAAACACCTATTTTTAACACTAGATTCAAACGATTATTTTATTATTTATTATTATCATGACTACTGCAGCTACTATCAGAATCACATTAATTTCCAAATGTAATCAACAATTTTTTGATACACGGATAGATTTTTTTATTTTATTATTATTATGATTTATGATACGTATCACTGATCTGATAATAATAACAATCTTTGAAAAATATCAGTGTTTATATTTATCCTAGATGATATTTAAAACATAGTTAAGTGCTAATTATTTTTTTCTTCGATAGGTATAAATACATTGGCTTGTAGTATTCAATATAATTATATCATAAATTTGCGTTCGAGTAGTTTTAGGTATTAGATCCATTTTTTGTAAGAATAATATTGAGTTCGTACACAATAAAATAATAGGCTTATTCAAATTAAAACGCTTACTACAATGGATGGCGCAAAAATACGCAGCTAAATAATTGACACTTTTGTTCAGTAGATTGTGGTAGTACTAATATCTCTGTAAAAAACAATTTTAATTTTATAGGTTTTTAAAAACGTATGGATTTATCTTGGTATAATTTATAGACGTATACATTTCAAGTGCTACTATAAGTCGATAATAATCGTAATCTAATAATTGGGTCATTAAATACTATGTGTAATTCATATATTATACATGGCAAATGATAAACACTATGATTGGTCTCCATTGTGGAAACAATTGAATTATATAATTATTATGAACCAAACGTAACAATATTTATTAAAATAAAACTTTTTATCTTCTTAAATGTTTTATTTTTCCATTAATATAAATACATTTTGCCATTTTTTTTATTAAATTCCATACCTTAAGTAATCTAGAAATTATTTATAAAAACAAAATTTGACTTTTTTGAAATTCTAAAAAACGATTTTTGGCCAACTTTTTTCGCTTTTGGACCACAGTGCGCCGCGTGCCGTACTAACACACAAATGACACTCCACTATACTCTCCCACTATCTAAACTTACCTGTTTTCCGCTGCCAATCATATTTTTATTTCCTTATGGCTTTTTGCGTCCTTATTTATGTTCATCCCTCAATATTTGAAACTATCCAATATTTCAAATTTGTATTCATTTATATCAAAGTATCCTACTCTGCAAATTTTCCTAGTCATGACCATTTATTTAGCTCAATTTTCTTTCTGTTTTCCAACAGATTCCTTGTAGAGTCCTTTAGATTCACTTCATCTTCTGGCATTATAACTAAGTCATCAACATATGTAGCCACTATTAATTGCCTGTAAGCTCTAATTTGAATTTCATTTGCTGTTACAAGGGTTTCTCTGACGACTGACTCTAAAATTATATTGAACAGCGCTGGGAATAAGGTATCCCTCTTGCCTAAGCTCCGTCAATGCCTCGAAATCGTCCGATATGAAATCTCCAAACTTAACTTTGCACTTTGACCCTGTACACATGCACTGACTAATCTTGTAAGCTTTTATGGTGTGCCTAATTCGCACAATGCCTTCCGTAGTTTGTTTACAATCACATTACAGTCACATTCGTGACTTATTTTTTTTTCTATTTGTTTATAATGACGTGTATTTTGACCAAAGTTGATTTTCCTGCCATAAACCCTACATGATAATCTCCAATTATCTCGAATATATAACATTTTATTCTATTAAGTAGAATATTAGACAATATTTAATAGTGAGATTTCTCTGTAATTTTTACAATACTATATCTCCCTTTTGAAGACAGTACATAGAACAGAATTACGTAACGAATTTCGTATTTCTTCACTTTTCTATATTTTATTAATCACAATATGTAGCCGATATATTAATTGTAGTCCTTTTTTAAGATACTCGGCAGCTATTACATCCTTCCCAGCTGTTTCTTTCAGCAACGATTAACAACCATTGCTAACGAAAAACCGATTCTGAGTGGAGTTAAGTTAATGGTGATACTTTGTCAATAATATATAATATGTCATATTATGGTAAAATAATTGAATAGGCATTATATATTATTTTTAATAATATTTGTTTAATGTATCGATTTTCCTATGTTTTTCATCCTCAGTGATATTTATTTTTAGGAAAATTGGAATCATTATAAGTTGGAGCAAAATAACTTGTAGAAAATTTTTCCACAGAAAAAAACAATCGTAATATTATACAAATATATTACGTACATTTTACAGGTTTTTTTTCGATTTCTAGCATTTGATAAGAAAACTTGAGAAAATCGAAAAATGACCTTTTTAAAATACCTCCTGAGTTAAATTTCCTTTTAGAAAAATTGCTATCATTATGAGTTGGGATAAAACTCCTGGTAGAAAAGTTGTCCACGGAAAAAGAAGGGCATAATATTTTTAGCTAATACCTACATTTTTTACATTTTCCCATTTTTCCAATGGTTTTTTTTAGTTTTTCACATTTGTTGAGAAAACTTTGAAGAAAATCAAAAACCACCTCTTTTAAGTACCTCCCTAAACCGATTTCCTTTCAGAAAAAGAGCTACACTTAAAAATCTGAGCAGGTTTTTTAGTAAAAAAGTTGCGCACAGAAAATAAAAATAAAATAAACATCTTTGTAAAACCACAAGCTTTTTTGCGCCACTCAAAATCTAAAATATTACTTTGAATTAGTTAATAACTGAATAAAATAGATATTTTATTCTTTAATTTTAAAATGGTTTTTAAATCTTAACTCGGTCATCCATAAAATACGTTTACTCAATGTTACATAAGACAAAGATTTTAGACAACACAAACACTAATACTTCCATAATAAATTAATAATATACTTATATAAAATACATTATAGAAAAACGGAATAAAATAATCCTTATCTCAAATAAAATCAGATTTTAAATTTTAGTCTCCTAATCATTTGAAGTATCCATGCATTTTCTATATTTTTTGATTTTATCAATTACTGTTTAAATTGTTTACTGATTCGATTTTGACGTCAAAAACAAAAAAAAATAGTCACATATAGAGCCAGGGAAGTATGAACAACATCGTGTAAGCTATGAAACTACTATTCCCTAGTTTATAACAAAATGTCACGCGCTTATAACGAATTTGCCGCATGACTAAAACACGATTACGTAATAAGACAAAGTAATAAAAATAGATATTTGTTATTTCAAATTAACGACGTATGATCCAATACTCAATAGCAGTCACTATATCGAATATCATTTTCAAATGTTCGTTATATTTTTTAATATAAATCAAAGGCGTCATTTAAAATATTAGAAAAATATGCTAACAACTAGGCAGACCAAAAAAATCTTTAGCAGGCCAATAAATATTTTACTATAGTTTTACAAAAAAAAATTGTTTACACCTTCGATAAAATACCAATTACAATAATAGCAAATATAGTAACTATGATTATTTATGGCAGAATATTTTTTCCCGACACAGAAAAATTTTAATCCAGTCAACATGCAAATTGATGAATTTTAGACGTATATAAGTATACATTGCAATACCACAAATGACACCTCTGATAAAAATATGATTGAAAAAAATACATTCATTGTATTTTATTTTATCACACTTCATAGATATATTTTTTGGATGTATGTTTATAAGGTCCTTGGCACCATATTTAAAATTCAATAAAGTCTATTCACAAAGGACTGTGATCTCTGTTGATTTTATTTGAACACAATTTGAGAATCAACACTTTAAGCTTTAGTAGGAGTAACTAAACACTGTAGCTAAAGACTACAATGATTTCCTATTGCAAAAAAACAAAATTTTTGCCTACCCATAAATTGATTTTTATTATTAAGGCTAAAATTTTGAAAAGTGATGGTTTTTTATAAATATATTGACAAAAAGTGAGAAAACTTACTGCAGTGTTGTTAAGCCTTAGAAATATTAATATAGTGAAGTTTCATTTATATAATAATATGTAGGTATAGACAGAACACGAAATAGTAATTATTTTACTAGGTATACAACATCAGTAAAAGTATAATAATTCAAAGTTAATTAATTAACCACTGCATGCATAATTTTGATGCCTATAATAATTATAATAATTAGCTACAGTGACGCTGAAACCCATGTTGAGTCTGTCTATTGAGGTTATTGACCGGTTTTTTTTTTTAATTTCAGTATACATTGAACCTACTTGTACTTCAATTGATTCATTGATCGTCATAAGACACTAATAGTAATAAAAAATAATTAATAGGTATTCGGATTTTATCTATGAACAATAGTTATATATACAGTACGTTCACGCTAATAGGTATTACTAAATATTTCAGTTGGATGACCTAGTATTGAAATGGAATTTTCAGGAAAGGGAATGATAGAAAGTACCCAAATACACGTTTTCAGACAAATTTAAAATGTTTAACTCTTTTGGTACACGCATGCTCAATATACCTTACTTTTTTTTAAATAGCAACACCATATTTCTTCTACAGATTCGGAGAGTATTTTTTTCTTTTAAACAATTTTTGTATAAAAAGTTTTTTTTTATAATTACAAAATTGGCAAGGTTTTAGTATGTTGATATTTAATATTTACGAATAATCTCTAACTACCGTAATTTTAATTATGTTCAACTTATATTCAAAAATCGAAATTATATTTCCGATATATTTAAAAAATACATGAAATACAATATTTTTTAAATGCCCCTATAAAAAAACTGAAGTGTTCATTTGTATTTTATCTGTCTACAAACAAGTATTTCAAAATATCGCAGATATCATCATTTCTATATTCTAGTATAAAATTTGAACATAGTTAAAATTTTGTCAATTACAGATTATTCGTAAATATTAAATGTTAACATAGGCACTATAACTTTGCAAATTTTTGAAATTAGAAAAAAAAATCTATACGAAAAATGTTTTTAAAACAATACTCTTGTTAAAAAAAAAATAATTTTTATTAATTTGTTTTTTATTATTATTTGTAATTTTAAGTATTTTGGATGTTTTTAATACTTGTAAGTTGTACATTATCGATATAAATTTTAATACTCATTTTTAATTCTATGCTAATTATTTATTTAACGAGTAAATAATATGTAATATGTAACATTTTTGTTTTTATTGAATAACGCTAATCGCCTAATTTTCTCTAGAGAGCCGGTTATTTTTTATTTTGTCTTGTCTCGGTACATATTTCGGATTTTGGCACTACTCATTCGAGATTTATTATCTATACATCTTAACACTTTATAGTTAATTAAGATACTTTTTGTTCTAAATTCTAAAACAACTATACTGTAACCAAAAAATACACGTTACTATTACGTAAGTATAGAAGGACAACATAACCTAACCTCGTAAATAAGGCTACCATTATTCTTTGTAGATTTAATACTACGGGGGAGAATAATGAAGACTTATATAACATACAACTTATATAACATAACATAACCACGCCATTAAATAATAAAAATAGAACCACCACGTAGAAAAAAAAAAGAAGTACCGTATCAGACTAATCACTCCAAAGAGACGTGTCTTGTTAAACGTTACAAATAATATCATTGCTGAAATAATCTCTACAAGAAAGCCAACGCATTGGCCCACTGATCCAAACAAGATTCCCAATCTAGTTGAGTTCTTTGTTATGAAAGTTATAGCTTCTAATTATATTGAGGTATTAGAGCTTACAGAATTAACGTTAGATTACATACAAGTGCTTCTCACGTTAAGTTCTAATGTTATATATAAACAACGAAAGATATTGATAATCAACAAGAAAAGAGATTGGGGCCTCTTTAGTGCGAATCTAGACGAGACCTTAACCCTCTCAGTAAGATTGGTTGTGCTGTTGAACAACTGACTAATAATATCGTAAAAGTGACGAAAGCAGCAACACCCGTAACACTAACAGATGGTAATCACAAGATAATCTACCTAATGGAAGTCAGGGAACTAGTAAAACAAAAACGAAAGGCACGGAAAAAACGGCACCAAACGAGTGATCCTTCCGATAAAACCGTTTGGAATCGCATTAGCAAACTTTTACATGACAAAATTAAAAAATTAAAAACGAAACGTAGAAATCTTACTTAAATAAACTTAATCCGCATGGATTGATCATGGGCACGCTGTGAACAAGATAAAGCTGATATGTATGCATATCATTTAGAACGTGTATTACAGCCGAATAAAGTAGTTCCCGAACTTGACAAAGTTCAGGGTCAACCACTCAATGAAATACGCACTAAGATAAAGTACTTCATTCCAATCGAAATTACAAAAAAAATGTATATGAATATTAACCCAAAAAGGCGCTTGGTTATGACCAGATCAACCCAAAAATCCTAAAATAGTTATCTAAAAAAGCCACCCGCTTAGTAGTCAGTTACTGCATTATCGTTACTGAACCAATTCTTTAGAATAACTAATCCTGATTTACTTAACGTGTATATCAACGCAGACTGGAAATCTAACGCTTCTGACATAGAATCATCGACGTAGGTTTGTCGAAGTAATACATCAAGTACTTGCTCAGCGTTCGAGTAATCATACGTTATTACAGTGAAAAAAGCTTCATTTTTATCAATTACCAAAAATATTGCTGAACCACTGTTGAATGAATACTGTGAATACTGTCACCTACCATGTAATAATACAATTTATATCAATTGTGTTATTGAATTTAGTCATAGAACAATATGACGGTATGTCACACGCGTGGTATCTGGTCGTTTTGGGGGAACGGATACATCGGCAAACGAATATTTCGGCGAACCAATTTATTTAAAGTAAATATAATTGAAAAAAAAAGTTAGGAAGGTAGGCTACATAAAGTTATTTCATTTTTGTTTGTATGTAATGATAAATTGCTTACGAAAAACGAATCAGAGCGAATTTCGGTGAGACATATTTTAAAATTTGTTTTCAGAAAAAAAGGTGATATATTAGCTTGTTTAAAAGTAGCTCACGTTGAGGCAGAACAACAAATATTAAAATAGAAAACCACAGAAAATATAAAAAGAGGTTGAAAATCATTCAAATGACGACATTTTAAGCTATTTATAGTATTTAAAAGGTATCCTAAAAGTTAGTAAAACAACATTGATTTTTTATTTTTTATTAATATTAAATATAATTTTGTAATTTTTTTTTCAACTGTATATATATGTCCAGTGACTTGACACATGATTTAATTTATTTATTTATTGACTTGTATAAACTCTATATTACTCGTATTACTTATATAGACATGCACATATTAACGGGTTTTTATTTTTTTTTTATTATTATTATTATTATTTTTACGCCAAATAAATAAATTGTTTCGCTAAAAACATCCGTACGCCGAATTGCCATTCACAATATTCTAAATCCTATGTCACATTCCTATATATGTTCTTAAATTATGATAACTAGGGCAGAGGACTTGTAGCATTTGCATATTTTTTTTGCATGGTCACAAAAATAGCAGAGTGTGAAACAAATACGTTTCATGCTTCCACAAAGCTAGTTTTGAAATTTTGTACAACGCATAAAATATTTTCATTCCGAGCTACGGGGAAGGCGATTTAGCAAATTTTAAATATGCTCCTATAAATTCCGTTGATGTTGAACGTTCTTTTTCAATGTTCAAAGTGCTGTTAGCTGACAATAGAAAAAGTTTTCTGTTTGAAAATTTGGAAAAACATCTTGTTGTTCAATGTAACTTCCAAGGTAAAAATTTGTGTTAATCTTAAATATTTGAAACTAAAATATTTTGTCAATTGTTTTTTAGTAGTAGAAAGTTGAAAGTATCCAGATTAGAAAATCCATAAAATAAACCCAAATAATCCAAATAATTAATAAGAACTTGTAAGTTGTTAAATAAATTGTAAATAAAATGTATTCATTAAAATAATAGGTACAGAAAAATTCTTATTTTTTGTTCAAAATATTCATTTTAAAATGCATATTTTGTATATATAAGTGCATATTTTATATATTTAAGTGCATATTTGGTGATTTTTTAGAGCTACAAGTCCTCTGCCCTAATTACTACTATAACTATTTGCTTAACCGCGGATCCATGGGGGGGGGGGAATTTAATTCCCTTGACCCACCAACTCCGTAAATACGCCGCTGTTTTTGTTTATTTAAAAAAGAAAAAAATGAATTTCCCAAATCTCTTCATCCCCTCCCTATATGGGTGTTAAGTGTGTAATGCTCCCAAAGTTTTTTTTTACATATCAAAATGCAGTATTCAAATATGTTCCAGGTTTGGTAGAAATTGTTACAGGCGAAATACCGAATCGTGACTAAATTAATATAAAACAATTATATTATGTATAATGCTCATATATATGTCTATATGTATAATCTATAAAACAGTACCCGAACATCCTGACATGACCCCCTCGCCCTTTTCAATTTGTCTTATATCAACACAACTATCAATAATTTAGCACAGGAACGACGTCAGATTCCTAATTTGTATCCTGATACGTTCCAGATTTTTGCAGAACGTAATATTCCAGCAAAATATTAATGGTTCTATAGAAAAACGTTGTTATTACAAAAACGTTAAAACTTGTGTAACGCAAGAGAAGAAAAATCGCCAAAATAAAAGGAAAATTTGGGAAAGTATAGCCAAAATAGTAAAGAAAGTTAAAACGCTTTGGATCTATAGGGGATCGGGTGAAGCGGAAAAGTCGGCTGAATAAAAACTGCTATTAATTGGCGACATATTATATATGAGGTTTTGGAAACCATTAGTTTTTACTTAATTTAACATTTCAAAATATTAAGTTCTGGATTTTTACATTTCGGATTATTGCAGTCTATGATTTTACATTCCAGAAAATTATAGTCTGGAGTATTTCGTTTAGGATTTTTTAAAATCCCGATTTTTGTGTTCCGGAATATTACGTTCCGGAATTTTACACTCCTGAATTTTATCATTCTGGATAGTTGTATTTCGAAAAATAATGGCTTACCCTTATTATAGATCATGTGCATTAACGGCCACTATACGCATTCTCTCGGATAGATGCAGTTTTCAATGATTTTACGAAAATGCAAAAAATGATTTTTGGACGCCATCGGAATTGAATTGACACGATGTAGAGAAGATATATTATCTCCATCGTGGTCGTTGGTAAACGGAAACTGAGTGTGACATCGGTATAATTTGTTTTGTCATGCGAATTTTTATTACGATCGGAGTTGTACGTCTGCGGCAGGGGGGGTCGGAGTTGTTATGGTAGAGCGGTTATGGTGGTGGTGGACAACCAAAATCAAAATGGATAAAACCGCATTCCGACACCGACAATTGATCATTCGGATAAACGCCCGTCAAACGTACGTTGAACAAAACTACCAGACCGATTCCCGTACGGCGCCGACCAATGAGAACACAGCGGTAATCGAACGATGACGGGTGGGAAGGTCTACGATTTTGAAAACGCCACGCATTATTTCCAGATGTGTTTGAAAGATCACAGTTAAAGTATAATAGTTCACGAACATTTTACGTGCCAAGACTGCTAATCATATAGATAAATATACACCTAATATATTATATTATATTATTATTATAATATATATGTATGTCTATATGGTGCCAACTAATGGCTTAATTCCGGAGTCGTTAATTACACGTAAATTACCAATATTTAATTTTTTCTGAATTTGTTTTATAGAACATTTAGCTGTTGAAACAGCTACATATTTTTCATTTTCACACGGCAACTTATTTTAAACATAACATAAATAGGTGGAGTATTAATTTGAATATATTTTGGTGTTGAAATTGTTGATTTCCGTCAACCCGTTGCAGAGACATTTCAAGTTTTGGTGTTGAGGCATGGTAGTGAAACATCATTTATACGTGGCGGTATGGCACGAGGAGGTAATAGTGTTCTATTACTATATTCTCCCTCGATCTGAGCACTTTTCTAATTTTATCAAATTACTCGTATATAATTTATATGCAATTTTTTTAATAGTGGAGTTGCAAAATACGTTTAATTAATTGAATTCGCATTACACGAGTATAAAATTGCACCTCTCTGATAATACAATATTGTTTATACCTACAACATCATGTATTAATATATTGCAAATTGTATTATTTGTTTTTCAAAAATAAACTGCAGATATTGTTCGTTAGCATTATTTTTATATTTTACATTTAAGATTCGATGAAAATAATAATTTTTACATAGTGTGACGGCAAAATAATAAATAGTGAAAAAAAAATTGCAATCGAAAACGAACAATATATTTTATATTATATATCTACACAATGGCCGAAACTATCTTCGACCGTCGAAATGAAAAAGATTCATTTTAGCTAGGAACCTGTTCCGTCCATCTTATAAACCTTCAAAATATTTGTCTGTGTTTACATTCACTCGCTTACTAAAATATGTATGTAGGCTATTCAAGCATTCCAAACTGTATAGATTTGGTAAGGTTATATATATATATATTTTTTTTTTTAGTATGATAGTTATATTATTGTACTATTATTTGGACATGTAAAACCGTGTTGGTACCTATACTATATACATGTTGTATGTTTAGGTATTTATGTATAGTACAACATATAATTATATAACGTACATATATACCTATATAATATGCGCATCTGCCTTTATAGAATTATGTATAGACGGTCTTTGACGCCGACAGTCTGCAGTTTAAATTAATTGTTTGACCAGTGCATAGGTATATTATCTGCAGGTATCCTAAATATGGCAGGGGTGGCCAACTTGGGGCTCGCGTTTTGTTTGCAAAGACCAAAATTTACTTAAAACTATTATGAATTTTAATTTTTTTGGCGTACATCTATATAAATAAAAAAAAATATATATTTTTATTGTATATAATTCGGATAAATTATCAAATCAAATATAAATATGAATAATGAATAAAATATAAAACTTAATTTGTTTGCGTGTTATTTTTTTTTTTTGAGCTTCTTAGGCTCTCTTACGCTCCGACACGCTTTATTATGCTTAATGCGCAGTTAAAACTATACACAGTCAAAACTGAACAAAAACACGAACCACGGAATAGTGGCTACAAACAAGCAAGCTCACACAAACAAAATCTGTTCAGAACTCAATATCTCATTGTATTTTGATAGCTGTGTAGTTAATGTGCCCAACAGAAAAATTGTTTTTATTATATAATTTATATTATTATTTATTGTTGAAAAGATAACAGATGAACAAGGAACGCCGTGAAAGTAATAATGAAGGGAAGCGTGATTATTATCGAGAAATTTTCATTTATAGGTATTCCTTATCTACGAATTCCAATAAGTCAAAATGTCATAAAGATGGATGATAAATATCTTCAGCACCAGCACTTAACTTGAGAGAACTTTTACTTTATTCTTTTCTTTCAACGAGAGCTACTTAATGAATTTAGTTTTTTTACTATTTCCCTTGTTGCATTAGGCTCCAACAGCATAGCAACATTTGTTTTAAATATAAAATAAAAATAATCTATTTTCAGACAACCGACGGAATACAATAACCAAAAATTACTTGAAATTTTTATTTTATTTTGTTTAATTTATTTACCTGTTTTCGATCATTAAATGGTAAAGACTTCACTTTTTCTATTTATGTCGGAATATTACCTCGCTCTTGATTCTCCATAATTTTGATCGGAGGTACGATTTTCTTATAGTGTATTCATACCCTACAATAGGGCCATTTTTACAACTTGTGAGGCCCGGGGCAAGATATCATTGCGAGACCCTCTTAGTTTTCACTATTAACCTAAATACTTAAATATAAATAAAAAGTTGTATTATAATTATAATTTTTATTTCACTATAAAGAAAAAATAAAGAATACATTTTATTAAACATTAAATTGAATTATTATATTATTAGTCATTCAATTTATAATTATATTAACAACGAAAAAACTGGGATATAAAATTACAAAAATTTAAATAAAATTAATTTTTCTCGCTTTTGCTTTCGAAAATATTGCGATTAAATCATCATAATCCAGATTTTCACAAATTCTATTATCAATTGAAATGATGACGAGGCCAGAAGACCTTTCTTGAACTAAAGTACTCCACAAATAATTTTTAATAATCTTTAGCTTTGAAAAACTTTATTCGGCACTAGTTGTAATGATTGAAATTGCAAGCATGATTCTCAAAATTATAGAAATATTTGGAAAATAATTACAAGTCATATTCAAAATATCAACACATTCTAATGAACTTTATTAGATTCAGAGTGGAGAAAAGAGCCTATGGTTTTTCAAAGATGTTTATTGTTTTTTTGTTTCTGTGCGCAACTTTTCTACCAGAAGAATTCCTCGGATTTCTATACGTGTAGCACGTTTTCTGAAAGGAAATTTGCATGGCGAGGTACTTTAAAGTGGTAGTTTTTCGATTTTCCAAAAATTTTTCCACCAAATGTGAAAAACCGGGATAAAACATAGGAAAACCGGGAAAAACGTAGGAAAACTGGGAAAATCGGTAAAACATTAAATAAATATTATTAAAGAAAAAATATAAAGCCTATTTAATTATAATGATATTTATATTTTGTTGAAAAAGCATCATTATAAATTGAATTTCGCTCAGAATCGCTTTTTCGAAAGCAATGGTTTATCGTTATAGGTATACATTAAATTATCTATGAGAGTGACTGCACCCGTCCCCATTATCCTAGGACATCTTTTTTTTCATTTAAGGTATGATAAAATATTTTTATTTCATTAAATATATCAATACCATATATTTCTTGGCTATTAGTATCTGTCAGTAATATCTCACAATCGCTCATTTTAAGTAATTTAACATTACATTTTTAATCAAATAATAACTACACGTATATGATTACATACTGCCTATTCAAAATCAGAACTTTCACAGTGATAGTTTTTGATTGTTGATAACTTTCAACTGGTATTCTTCAATTGTACAAACCAGAGAAGTAACTGTACATTTTTGACATTCTACGTAATTACGTCGAACACGATAATGGTTTTGTGATAAAAACGATACGATTTTAAAAATAAACAAATTATTAGAAATTCGTTCTCCCTCTGCCAAAAAGTTCTATGCCAGACGCCAATTATTTATCTATACCATCTCTTCTATATCTGTACCATTTTATGTAGGTATAGTGAAGTTGGATTATTATAGTTTACCTTTACTGTACTTGGGCCAATAGGCGTTTATAAACATAAATAAAATTACGAATACACTGGTTACACACGTGGTTCTTAAAGTGTCTCCAATTAACTGTTGACGAGAAAAGACAACTAGCGCTCATATTATCACCATGATTTAAGATATCGGGGTTCGAGATTATCTCTATTTATTTACCGTCTAAAACTAAATTTTCAAGCATGATTTCAACAAATATTTTATAGTATTTGAAGACAATATTATTTTATTAATATAATATTAATATATTATTTATGTTTTAATATTTTATTTCACGGGTGTGAAATAATTTCTATTGTTGATTTATTTACGAATATTAATCATAAATTGTAGTGTTGTGTGTCGATTTGTGTGAACCAGTAAAAATTGTCTTTTAGTATTCTTAAAGATAATTTCTTGCTCAAATAATGAGAAAAATTCTTGGAATGAATTTAGAAAGCCGTTTTAGACTTTTTAGTATTTTCATAATAATGCAAATGAAGCAATGCACCAATATTAAAAATTAAAATTCAATTGAATAAGAAGCAAAATAAAAAAAAAAAAGCTGGCTAAATAAGTAGCAAATTAAGAATGGACATACGTAATAGTTTTAATTTAATAATAATATAACTTTTTTTCAAGCAACTGCAAACAGCTTAAGTTGAATATAATATTACATTTTAAAATTATTATTTGATAAAAAATACAATAAGTATTTGAAGAAATCAAAATTGTCATCGTTTATGTTACTATGGTATCAAAGTTTAATTGTTATATTTATAATATTAATGTACCTATTATAAATGTAAGATGTACTTATTTAATTTTATATTTTATTGAATTGTACCACATTATAATAATTGGCTATTTAATAATCCCAATCAACAATGTACCTATGTGTTTAAAATTATTGTGTTACACATTAATTATATTACATTTTTTTTAATAAATGTAAAACATTCAGTTTTTAATATTTAAAAAGACATGTATAATTTATTTACAACTTTTCATATTATTATCAGTGAACACATCTTAAATCGTACTGTGAAATTAGTTATATTAGGTATAAAATGCGTCAGATTATTTTAATGTTACTATAAAACGTGCCGTAATTAATTTCTTATCAGTTAAAAATTGAAGACATTACAAAGGTCTCGTTATCGCGCCTCGTTGTGTAACCAATATATTATCTTTAAACGTGGTTTTCATTTTATAAAAAATTGATTATGCAATCTATCATATACAAAAAGGAATTTTGGAATTTTTAAGTGTGGTTATAGCCGATATTTTTGAATCTTAAGGAGTATCCTATGGGGATACTAACTACAGATTTTAAAATGAGAACTTATGTTGAAATTTCCATAAATAGATGGAGTATTACTTTAAATAAATTTTGGTGTCAACATTTTTGATTTCCGTCAACCCGTTAACGAGATATTCCACTCTCAAGTTTTGGAAAAGGTGAGTAGTGGAGTATCATTTGTGGGGCAGCACGGCATGCTGCGTTTTATTAATGCTTTACTCACTCTAGTCAGATACGTACCAATAGACACCGTACCGTACTGTTCCACAAAATATTATAATATTTGTTTAAATATAAGTAATTCATATTTTAACGTTTCCGTTTCGAAAATAAAATTAGGAGACTCACAGAGTCCATCCGACATTCCGCTCGGGAATGTTTTGTCGGAACGGCCCGTGGTTTGGTTCAGGCTTGAACAGGGGGGGGAGGCAAAATTGCTCATATTAATTTTGAACAATAAACACTAAATATGAAATACAGATATGATTACAATCAAGTATTGTAGCAATTTGAACGACGATTTATAATCGTAATTAACTCATATTATTACAACTACAAATATGATATAACTATCAAGGGCGGACCCTCTTGGTCACCTTTCCCTTGAACCCGCCACTGATCTGTCATGAGCACCATCACGTCAGCAAGCGTGCCCGCAGGATAAAATCCTACCAAAACGGGGGAAAACGTTTTGTTCTAGAAATTCTTGATATTGTTGTAGTAAAATGGTAGACAATTGTGTTTTAAAAATGTACACACAGTTGAAAATCCTGAGTAGGGGGCAATGACCCCCTGCGGGCGCCCTTGTACGTCAATCTATTTCACGAAAATTATCAGTGTTTAAATAGTTTTATTATTAAATAAACATGCTTATAAAAATGATGTCTATTTATTTTTGATTTCGGTTATAAGTTACCTAGAACCCAATAATAAACGGCCGCCAACACAAATACAAATATGTATATTATTTTCAATTAAATTGATTCCGACAAGCACCGACAGTACCGACAACACATGCTTTGTTATAAAATGGTCTGTCGTGTCCTGGGGACGATTTTTTAAAATGTGGCTAATTTATCACATGTGAGATAATTCATCAAATTTATCGAATGCAAAAAAACTTTTTCGAAGGTAAATCATATTCTTGAACGGAATTCGATATAATTTTATCACTTACCGTTTATGATAAAACATATCGAATGACTATTGTGGTAACATCAAAACTAATCAATTTTAACCTCAAATATCTAACAATTGAACAGTTACCTGTTGTTTAGTATACAATTATTTACTTAAAAGTAAAAGTAAAATGTAAAATCGAGATACAGACGATTGAGATAAAGTAGTAAATCGACTATGACTCATTGGTGCTTGGTATGATCCACGGCGCTAAAAATAGACCGGAAATCCGGAACGGCTTTCCGGTTGATACTAATAGGTTTTGCGTAAGGTTCAGTTTGTAAAAATATTAAATTAGTAACCAAGCGTGTCTTCAGGATAAAACCCCACCCGAGGCAAAACGAAAACATTTTACTCTCGAAATATTTTATATCATTATGGTTAGGCCACTCGGTATGATATTTCTGACACTTAAAAATGTCACAATCAAAAGCATTAAAATAATTAATAATCATTTTTAAGATAATTCAAATTTTCTTTTAACAAATTTATAATAATAAAATAATATCGACAGTGCTTGTAACGGTCGTATTCTCAAAAAACGACCGTTTTATTTTATCGAAATTAAAAGTTTTTGTTATTATTGTAGGTACTTCCTTATTTAACTTGATTCTGAGAATTTTGTTTATAGATTCTTCATATCTAGTAATTTTAATTGGAAAAGCATGAAAGTCTTATATTCAGATTATTGAAAAATACCTACCTCCTTTGTGTATCACTAAAATTAGTTTACGAGCAAAAAAAATGCTGTTCAAGGATAATGGGGTCTGGTGTGGCCACTGTATTAGGTAAAATTATACCTATAAGCAGCGATAAATTATTGCTAACGAAAAAACTATTCTGAGCGGAGTTCAATTGATAGTGATACTTTGTCAACAATATTTGTCATATTAAGGTAAAATATGTAATAGGCATTATAACGGTAAAACGATTTGCTCGTTTTCCCTACGTTTTCCCGGTTTTCCCAAATATTTTTTCCTGGTTTTTCACATTTGCTGAAAAAATTCTTGGGAAAATTAAAAAATAGCCAGCTTAAAGTACCTTCTCAGTCAGATTTTCTTTTAGAAAAAGTGCTATCATTGTAAATCGAAGCAAAATTATTATTAGAAAAGTTATTCACAGGAAAAAAAAATTATTACTATTTTAATTAATTATTATTTAACTAATAACCTACATTTTGTAAATTTTCCCTTTTTTTTTCATTTTTTTCGGTTTTTCACAATTTTTCAGAAAACTCCTGAGAAAATCGAAAAATGACCTCTTTAAAGTTCCTTTCTACACCAATTTCCTTTCAGGAAAAAGGCTACACTTAAAAATCGGAACAAGGTCTCTAGTAGAAAAGTTGTCCATGAAAAAAAAAATAAACTTCTTTGAAAAACCATAAGCTCTTCGCTCCACTCAGAATCTAAAAAAAAGGTATAAAAGGTACGGATAAGTGCGTATGACCATACACAATTTAATATATTAACGGAATATTTTGCCGTATTATGCAGCTGTGCCGTACGACAAGTGTAAAACGGGCTTTATACGTTTGTTATGGGTCCCATCATTGTCCCTCAACAAGTATAAAAAGGGTAGATTTTGTTGTGTATATACTGTCAAAACAAGCTGCAGAACACACATCCGACTTTCATAGTTACCGACCGGGAAAATAGATATACTTTACACGTCATGCCGGGTTGAATCCGGCAGAACCGGGTGTCGGCCTCTCGGGTATAATTTGGAAAAACGTCCTTGCGTATTTGCTCATGCAGACTACACACGATCCTCGAGTGCCGGATAGTCGCAATAATTTAGTTGCACAAACACGTAGAACCACCACCGTAATGATGATAAAATATGATAATAATACACAGGCACCTACTGTATATTATTCGTAATGGATCGATCCATTAAAGTAAGTTAAAACACACAAAGATATCGCGCGCGGTAGCGGTCTAGACGTGTTGGTTTTATTGTTATTTTATTACTAGGTAATAATATTGTTATTATTATCATTTATCAATTTTTCGTCGTATTCAAGCGACTAGAAAATTAAAACTGATACGTTGATATCGGGCAATCCGCATTGCCGTCGTAATATCGATTGCGTTCTGATTTAGGCTTTATTTGGATAACTATTTTTATTACACTTTTAACGATGGACAGAAAGTCGGAAAGTTAAAGGGATTACCCATTGCTGTGATAACCCCATAACACTGTACACATCTCAGTTAAGACCGAATTTCAAATTCCGAAAAGCAACTTACATATACTTACAATTAATGAAGGTTTTTAACTTTCAATTAGTCCGGTTCGATTTGGTCGATAGGGGGGGGGGCAGGGGACTAACTCACACACGTGAATATTATATTAATATCCGATATTTCTTTTGTTAATATTTTAGTTTATTATATTCGGTTTCGGATCATTTTTTTAAGCGTAAACTATGTTCGTCGGTCTTGAGTTAACAACCCACCTTGGACGAACGCAATTTGGGGCCCACTTGAAGCGCCATGAGCGTGTGTTAAAACTGTACGTTTAAAGAATAAATAGCGTACAGACTTAACACGGTTTTTAGTATATTAATAATGTAAATAAATATGTAAATGTAAATATGGAAATAAATATGTAACGATTTGGCGTGTATTTTTTGTCCGTTTGGTATCTTTAGACGATCATGGCACGAACACAGAATATATTTCATCTATTCTTTGGTACGAACGCGCGCGAAACCTGTGCCGTCGACATGACTACAGACTGACAAACTTGATTTTCGTATACTTTAAAAAATATTAGTTCAGTTACTTTTTTAAGCCTGTTCGTTCGTATTATTAATTTATAATATTTTATATTCGAAATGCATTACTATTATGTGTGTATTTTTTTTTCTGTCCATAAAAAATTTTTCTATCAGAAATCTTGCTCCAATCTATAGAGTGTAGCACCTTTTCTGAAAGGTATTTTGTTTAATTGGTGCATTAAACAGGTCATTTTTTGATTTTCTGAGGGATTTTCAAAATAATTGGGAACATTTGGAAAGAAAATATATGTAAAACGGCAAATATTTACCATGCATCGTGGCGTTATCGATTTTATTGTTTTTAATTTTTGCAACTTAATTTTCTACCAGAAATATTGCTCAAGTTGAATAATGATTAGTGTAAAGAAAATCGTTTTTTGATATCCAAAGTGGTTTAACAACTTCACGTCTCGGTTTAATTATTTAAATTTTTGCAAACGATGTTTTCTATTAGAAATCTTGCTCCAATTCGTTATTTTTTTATTCGTTATTCTAATAATAACGAAAAACTGGGAAAATGAATATTCGCTCCGAATCGTTTTTCGTTTGCAATGGTTTATCGTATCCTACCTTCTTAACTTTCCAAATTTGGTTTTTTTGTTGTTATTCGGTTAAAAATTATTGTAGAAACCTGTAGTTTTCACAAAATACTTATATTGGCCTTTAGTAGACGTGTACAATTTTGACAACATGTTTTAGCTATTTATAAGTCTTTGATATTTTCGTGTTTGTATATTATATGTTTTTTTATGTGGTAGGTATCTGTTATTAAAATTATATGACTTAAGAGAAATTCTTGAAAATTTAACACAAGGTACATTATGAATTGTACCTACATAGTGATCTAAAAAATAAATTTGAGTTTAATGCATTCGTTTTTTTTTTTTCATTAGAACCGTTTTAAAATAAAATTTTGATGAAAATCGTAAATATAAAGGCATTTCAAAATTAATTTTCTTATAGAACTTCGCGCCGAATCGTTTTTATTTTTTATTTTTATTGTTCGTATTTAGTGTAACGTGCCCATTTAGGAGAACTATATTTTGAGGTAGACACGTGAATTAATTTAAATTGCAACACTGAATTCTTTGTTCAGAAAATACTAATATTTCAACAAAGTCCGATAATATGCAGTTCAAAAATATTTCAAGTCCAATAAATAAAATACAGAAAAATATTACAAGTCAAATATTCGGTATATAATGTAAAGTGTTATGTGCCCACGTATGACTCGTAGAATACGTGCGAGCCCGTACCTAATGTACCTAACATAATGGAAATTGCCATTACCATAAAATGCTAAAAGAGGGACTGTACATGTTACAAAACCGTACGGACCCGGATACCTGTAAAAGACGATTTCACATCAATTGCTACAATATTGTCGACAGCTTATATTTGTATAAGCCAGGATAGGGGAAGATAAATAAATTACCTAATATACATATTACCGGAAAAAATAATAATTATGATGTCAATAACGATAATGCCTAATTTAATAAGGAATTAATGTCAATGACTTGATATTGATGACAATTCCTATTAAAATAAGGCAATAATGGTAAAATTAAAAATCTAATAATAGATAATATCGGTTATTTAAGATAAATCTTAATATATTATTTAGCTAGCATTGTTATATTATTTTAAGTTCAGCCACCATACGGCTCGGCCTCTGTGACCGATAGCTATGTGTATAGAATGAATGATATCTAAAAGCTCTTCATTTTTCACATAATATCACACGTCTTTTTTCGCATTGGTTATGGTTTTAATAAGACGACATTTACCGTT